TTCCCTTTGACATCAGAAGAGGTCTAATAGTGCCATCAGCACAGAACTGGCAGAAACCAGTGGGAGAGAGGTACACCCATCTACTGTCTGGAGAAATCTGGCCAGAAGTGGTCTTCATAGACTAATCGTGGCCAAAAAGCCATACCTCTGACGCAGAAACAAGGCTAAGCGACTTAACTATGCACGAAAACGTAGGAACTGGGGTTCAGAAAAAAATGGCAGCAGGTGTTCTGGACTGAGGAGTCAAAATTTAAAATATTTGGCTGTAGCAGGAGGCAGTTTGTTCATGAAGGGCTGGAGAGCAGTACAATAATGGGTGTTTGCAGGCAACAGTGAAGCATGCCAGAGGTTCCTTGCAAGTTTGGGATTGCATTTTTGCAAATGGAGTTGGAGATTTGGTCAGGATCATTGGCGTCGTCAATGCTGAGAGATACAGGCAGGTACTTATCAATCATGTCATACAATAAGGAGTGCAATTGGCCCAAAATGTATTCTGCAGCAGGACAGCGACCTCAAACATGCAGCCAATGTCTTTAAGAACTATCTGCTATCTAAAGAACAGACAGTACTGAAAGCGATGGTTTGACCCCTACAGAGCTCAACATCGAGTCTGCCTGGGATTACATGAAGAGAATTTGTATTTGTCATCTGTTCATTTAGTTCCCATTTTGTTAATTGATAAAAATTACTATTAACACTTCTATTTCTGAAAGCATTCTTAATTTACATCATTTTTTCACACCTGTCAAACAGTACTTTGTGTACACACACACACATTTAGAGATATAGCATGCAATATATTGTTTCCCTTTAATGGACCATACCAATGATTTCAGATCAGTTAAAAACTAAAATAAACTTTAAACTGATCTGAAATCATTATTTTCCCTTTAATGGACCATACCGATGTACTCCATGCTATGCTTCCTTGAACATCTATACAGTGGTCTCCAGACTGGAGGCCGAATGTGGCTCTTTGCTTTCTTTTATCCAGTCCTTGGGACATTATTTCCCCCACTGTCAGCAACAATGCGCCATAGTTCCTGCCACTCTATTCCTCCTGCTGACACCAATTATCAAGCACTATTCCTCCCCCTGACACCAATGATTAGGCACTATTCCTCCCACTGGCACCAGCAATGGGGCACTATTCCCCCTCTGACACCAGCAATGGGGCACTACTCCTCTCACTGACACCAGCAATGGGGCACTACTCCTCCCACTGACACCAATGATGGGGCATTATTCCTCCCACTGATACCAGGAAAAGGACACTATTCCTCCCGTTGACACCAGTGATGGGGCACTAATCCCCCCCCCCCCCCCCAAAGATGGAGCATACTATTGCTCCCTATTGACATCAGGTCATTTTCTACACCCACTGGCCATAGTCGACCCCCCCCAAGTTTCAAGGACAGTAAACTGGCACTTTGTTTAGAAAGTCTGGCTACCCCTGATTTATAGCACAAACTCAGCTAGATCTATTTTGTTGCATTCAGTGTTCATGTTCACATGAATATGTACAGTTCATGAGTCCACCTTGAACTGACCAGGATTGAGTTGAGAAATAGGTAGCTATAGTAACTACATGGTCATAAAACAGCAAAAGCACAGAGAAACCTATTGTGTGCATAATACCAAACACATTGTATCCAAAGAAAACTTTGTTACCTGGTCACATAGTGGCAAGGAAAGTTCCCCCTCTCAAAGTCTGGCACCCCATTTCATATTTGCATATGCTACTTAGTAGACTGATGCCAGAGAATATGAAGTGTTTCTTAAAGAGAACTCATAGCATTTTAGGGTGTAACCTCAATACCAGTTTTCAACGGATTATGCTGCATGTAAAACCTGTAATCACAGCTCCCTATCTTCAGAGAACAGATGAACTATATATTTTATTATGGTTTACCTTCTATAGCAGAATTCAGTTGATGCTGCTGTGATTTTCACAGGGAAGCATATTTGATAGTAATCAGAAATTGGCAGCAGGTGCTGTTGCAAGTGAAATGTATCATCGCAGTACCCCATCTCAAGCCAGCTTGGGATTTACAATAGGAGGGACTTCCTAGAAATCCTCAGTGATTTTCTGTGGTAGTTTTTACTGTTTTCACTAATAAAGCTGAACTCCAGGCAGATATAAAAGACAAAAAACCTAAAGTAAACAATGAACTCAGCACAATATATAAATTGCATATCTTGTATACTATATATGTGTAAAATGTGGAATTTCAAACAAATATAAAAAAAAATATATAGGTTAGAAAGAGTGCCTCCTATGTCTTCTATCATGAAAAAACATGGTATATAAAACAAGAAGTATTAAAGCTTGTAGGAGGAGTTTTCATTCTGCTCTGACTGTTCTATGAGGCTGCATTATCCCTGACCCTCTGTCTAGACAGTGTTGATTGGCCATGTACTGATTATATGCACCCCCCCAAAGAAATAAAAAAACTCTCTGCACATGCTCAGTTTAGTGTGTATTGCTAGAGTGCCTCCTGGAGTTCTGTACTATCAGCAGATGGATTGGGGACAGTAGAAGAAGGGGAAGATCAGATAAGACAGGCTGAAACAGCCTTTTTACACAGTGCGGAAGATTAATCCCTTAGGTTCCACAGTGAGTATAACAAGCATGCTTTACTACACATACAGACTGAATTTACTGTTGTGGGTTTAGGAACACCTTAATGAAACAACCAAACAATAAGATAATCTTTTTCTACATTATCTAAGATAATGTGTGAGCAGTTTGTCTAGTCGCCCTACATTTGTCTTCTTAACTTGAAAGACAAAAGAGAAAAAGAAAGAGCACCACATGCATGAAACAAAAAGGAGAACACTACACTCAAAGTATTCAAAGCATATTGTTTTTATCTGATTGCATTTACAAACAGATATCCAAAATGTTTGTTTTATTTATTAATAAACCTTGTTGTACAAACCTGAAAAGTAAACAAAACTGGCAATAAACAACATGGAGTCTTTCCGTCACAAGGAAAGAGAGCAGAGCAGTGCTAATAAATTAAAGGTCAATCTGTAAGCTGTAGTCTTCAAAGTTTACCGTCAAGAGGGAAAAAGCACACAGCAAGGCCATAAAACTGGACAACCACATTTGAAAAAACACTTGACTCGGTTTATGTTATTGTTAAATATTCAAAAAACAGTTCAGTCTTCTGCAACGACAACCAACAAATCGTATTAAAGGACACTCTCCCAATAGTTACCACTGGCGAGTTCAGTGCAATATGGCTAGCTACGGTTTTTTTTTTTTTTCTGATTTCGTTCAATTGAGAAACAAAGAACAATTTAGTGAAAACATTTTCCCTTTTTTGTATTTAGTCCCACACATACAACCAGAAAAAAGGGGGTAAAAAGTTACGCCATTGTTTTTCGTTTTAGTTGTTCAGTGATATAAGCAGCACTTATATATATGTTACAAGATTAACCCTGTAAGCATCCAAACCATCGGATGAAGAAACTGAAATGTAAGGCTTTTTCTTCATCTTTTTATTTTTCACCGTCCCCTGTCCACCCCAATCCCCAAAAGAAGGCTCAAGTATTTCAAACAATTTACAAGCATATGTACAAAGAAAAAGATTTGTGATTTGTACGTTTTCTTTTTTAAGCGAGACACAGAGCTAACAAAGAAAAAAAAAAAAAAAAAAAAAAGAGACAATGAGGAAATCAGTTTTCACATTCACAAAAAAAGGGAAAAACAAAAGCAGGAAAAAAAAAAAATCAGACCCTAGTGGCTCTTAAAAGGTGATCACTGAAGTGATTCCATCTCCAACACAGGGACCAGCACTGTAATACATAGCAAGAGCCTGTGACGGAGAGGAGGGTTGAACATAGAACGAAAATACAAATATATATATATATTATATTAATGCTGATTGTGTGATGTGTTGAAACAGCAGTGGAATGAAATGGAATGTTAGAAAGATTGCACATCTATGACATAGAAGCACTTCTGGCTTCAACAATATATATATTTATATATATATATATATATACTTTAAATTCATTTTTCCTTTTTTTTTTCCAAAGGATGCTATTGAAGTTTTTTTTTTTTTTTTTTTTTTTTTAACATTTCATTTTTGATAAAGTAGCCAACAGCACCAAAAATAACAGAATGGATTCCTTTTGAAATCAGGCACAGTTTATAATCCCCACAACCCTCCCAACCAGCCCCACCCCCCAACATGTGATTTTCGCCAGACAGGCATTGCTTGAGTTAATTTTCCTCTTCTCCTTTAACAGATGCATAGAAATGTGCTGGTAACAGAGAAACTGCTTTCAAATCTCAGCATTATGCCTCTGGTTTTGTTTGTAGTCCATCATAAGCTGCCAAACTATCCTCCATTTTTTAATGGTTTTTGTGTTTTTCTTTACTACATTTTAAATCCCAGTTAAAAAAAAAATACAAACAAAAACAAAAATTAAAAAAAAAAAAAAAAACCTCATCTTGCACATGACAGAATGAGATTGCCAAGAAAGAGCGGGTTTGTTCAAGTTTCGATTTTCTTTTCTCTAGAAAAAAATGCTCCCTTGACTGGATAAAGAAATACAATGGAAAAAAATGCACCACAAACATAATAAAAATGTAAAAGCCTTATTCACACAGTTGTCAAGGAAGGCTTCTGTTTTTAATTCAGTCTAAACAGGCTGCAGAGAACAAAAAGCTAAAATCAGAAACACTTTTAGTTAGCCCCCTCAGACTGTCATAAAACAGTGACTAGACTGCAGAGTCAAAAGTTGAACTGCAGTGGCTAAATTAAAAAAAAAACAAAAACAAAACAAAAAAAAAACCACACATAAAATCAACAGTTTAATGCTAAAACAAAGTTACTTCTCTAAAAACCAGAAGAAAAAAATCTTCTTAGAGCTAGTGCAAAGACAGCCTGCATTCTACAGCAAGTACTCCAAACTATGGTATAATTATAAAATAAAAAATATATATATATATATTTATATGATCAGAGAAACGAGGGTTGGCATCTTCATGATGAATTTGAAGCACTTTTGGACAAACTGACAGATGACAGTCTAGATGATGGCACATCAAGTGTGGCTCTCTTCCTTGGTCCTCTTTTTGGTGTAGACTTAGTGAGACAGTTCTCGATGTTGTCGTTGTTGTCGTTGTCGTCGCTGCTGCAGTTGTTTTTACCAGACGCTTTCCCACAGATCTGATTGACAAGACTAATTATTTGTTCCTGAAAAAGTAAAGCAAGGAAGTATGTCCCACAAGAATTTTTCCACAATAAAAAAAATGCACACATTAATTCTAACATTCACATAATAGGAATGAGTATATCACCTGTAGCAGTGCAGCCTAGAAAGGATCCGAAGTAATGCAATACTAACTCTCAACACATTCTTTAAAAGAAAAAAAAACGAAAAAAAAAAAAACTGCGTGTTTGCACCATCTTGTGGTTAACAAGATGAAAGTCATGAAAAACATTAGGTAGATGTTCGTTCCAAAGCCAAAAGGGAGATTTGGGGGAAAATACTGAACGCAGCCTGTTATAACCAGCCTCCTTCTGAATGTGCTAAATACTTGCTCTAAAATTCTCTCACTTGAACAAGTATTCATATCAGAAAAAGCAGAGATTCTTTTCTGCATACTTAAAGCAAGAAACTCAGTAAATCAGAAAACTAGCAATTTCAGAATGAGTAGTAATTAATGGCTGTCTCCTATTGTTAATTTTGCAGACGAAAATATTTTTGTCAGCTGCATGTTTTCAGTGACAAAACGAAATGAAAAAAATAAAACTGTTACAGTTCAGATGACTAAAATATGATTAAAACTAAAATGGCATTTTTGCCAAGAGACTATGACTAAAACGAAATCAAAATTTGACATCCAAATTAATAGTAGTCAAAAAGCAATTTCTTGTTTGTTTCCAAAACTTGGTTTTATTTATAAAGATGTTACTTGATATCGGCTTTCATTATTGACAGAGAACTGTTAAAGTTTTTATATTCAGGTAATATGTGCAATGGCATTACAGACAATAGAGTTTACAGTTTTTTGGGTTTTTTTTAAATATTTTAAAGTTTCAATTCTGGTCATCAAAAGGCAATATTTTTGTTTGTTTATGATACTGGATATTTTAGTCGACTAAAATATATTGGAAATTTCAGTCAACTTAAATATGACTAAAAGTAAAACAATTCAGATGAGTAAAATACAACTAAAACGGCATTTTAGTCAAAAACTAAATAGAAATTTGACATACAAATGAACAGTGCTGTCTCCATGCTTCTCTCAGATAGGTTTCCTTGTAGCACCTACACACGGTCATGTGACACTGTATACCCAAATGAATATCATTTTTTTCCTTAGACAGACAGAGCTTTATTTTGGTGCTATTTACCACTTAAGCTCTGAAACAAATAAGCAAAAAACAGACTGAAAAATTTGAAAACAAATATATTCTTTACGTCCTGTTATAAAACATACCCAATAAAAAATTTAAAAACCAAAATTCATACATTTAGGCCAAAATGTATTCTGCTACAAGTCTTTGGTGAAAAAAAAAACCACCTATTGAGTGTATATTAATTGGTTTGTGTTAAAGTTATAGTGTCTACAAAGTATGGGATATATACTAGAATTAATGTTTTTTTTGTTTATAAAACTGGTAATAGTAGTGATCAGCGATTTATACTGGGACTGTTATAGTGCGGGTGGGCAATCAGACACTTTGTGGAGTCTGCCTAACTGACATGGATACTGGCTCTGGGAAGGGGTTTAACATATAGGGGCAATCAAAATGTAAACTGTGTGCCTAGCAATGTTTACTGTGTGTAGTATGTGTCCCTGATCAGCTTGTGCTGTAGCGAATGACATCACAGCTGCGGCTTCGGGCGCACGCGACCCCTACCTGGAATTATTTCTATCATGTATACATATGTGATCCAGCGTACAGCGGCTTGTTTGCAGCATTAAAGCTACATGAGGCAGTCCACAAATGGTTAATAACTGGGGTTTTTAATATCATTATTGGAAATATCTACCTGCATGGGGCTACAACGGAAAGGCAAATTATATCTAAAAAATACCTAAGAAATTATATCTAAAAATACCTAAGATAAAGGAAAAATATCTTCATCTCATGCAGCTAACATTCCACAAACATATTTTATTACAAAAAAAAGAAAATTATAAAAAAGGCACAAAACACAGATTATGTATACTATTGGTTTTAATCTGTGTTTTGTGTCTTTATATTTTTTTTTTTAAATAAAATATTTTTGTTAAATGTTAGCTGCATGAGAGTCAGATATTTTTTTTTTTTTTTCGCTATATAAAACAACTTGCATTTCCATTGTAGCCCCATGCAGGTAGAAATTTCCAGGAGTGGTGTTATGGAATTTTCTACTGTGGGCTCCGCATTGAATATTGATCTTTATTAATTCATTTATTATTAATGTTGTAAGCTATAGAGCTTTGAGCTCTGATCTTTTTACATTTATATAGTAAAAAATAAAAACCCCAGTTAGGAACCATACCTCAACTAAGAAACAAATTGTTTGGAAAGTAGATGCCCCAAGGTGATCTGATTTATTGCCACAATTTTTTGGAAATGAAGAAACATGCTGGTATTGACAGGGTTAAAACATGGCACTTGGTAAATGGTGCACTAGGTACATTAAATGTAAAGCTCATACACAGAGAGATCAGGAGGTGAAGGGGTTATTGTACAGATCACATATAATGGGAGGATGGATATTAAGGGATTAATATACAGATGTGCAGGATAAGGGAGGTGAATAGTTAATATATAGGCCTGACATATACTATGAAGGGGTGGATTATATTATTGTTGGCACTGCACTGTATTGCATGGGTGCTGGCTGGTGGTCCAGAGGCCTCCTTTACCCTCACACACTGATCAGCCTATGAGAGCAAATTGTGCTTCTTGATCACTAGCCAGTAAGTGACTAATGGCTGCTAGCTGCAGCCTATGTTTACATTATGTAATGCTGTGATTGGTCACAGTGATCACGTGGTACAGAACCACACAATTTGGCTGTATACTTTTGCCTGTGATCTGATGTGTCCAATCACAGTGGGACCACAAGACTGTGCATGTGCAGGCACACGCAGTAGATAAATTCCTTGTAGAAGTACCAAACATCCTCCCAAAAGAATAAGGGAGCGGAACTGCTGTATATGTATAGTGGGCAAGCTGCAAGAGGGTAAAAGAAACCTGTGATGACAACAATATATAGACTGCTAGAAATGACCTTCTCCTGAAAAAGCCAGGTCCCAGATTGCCTTATCAACCTCTTGATTCAATACCTGAGTTCCTGACTTCCAATGAGTATACAGATCAAAACTTTTGACTTCACTTGCTATATACTTGGCCAGTAACTCAAAGTCAGGAGATCAGCAGTAGCAGCCTGAATACTTTCTTATGACACCAAGCATATATTTGAGCACCAGGAGAGAAGTTGTGTAATTATTGTATGATTTGATACTACAGTCAGTGGGAGGAGGGTCTACCTGAAGGAAATAGGAGAAATGGGGGTTGCAGCATCATAAAGACAAGCATTCTACTTAGTATAACATAGAGGGATGGTTAAAGCACTTCTTGGGTATAAAGCTATAAACATCCTCATTGCATCCTACTTGCCATGTCTAAATATACTTTTAATTTTGAAGATTGTATATTCATTGGGTAAACCCTGTTCTGATTGCAGTTCGTTATTATGGACTCGTCACAAGGACTGCTTATGATGTTTAAACAAAGCCATAATTTATTGGTAAAAACTAGACCAATACTGTTTAAGATGCAGTTGTGTTTGTGTGGTAAAGTGATCAGTGGCCAGGTAGGATCAAAGTTCAGTGGTAAATAGCAAAGTGATCAGTGGCCAGGCAGGGGCAGCTGGCAAAGCGAACAGTAACTAGGCAGAGGCAGGTGGCAATGAGATCAGTGACCAGAGAAGAGTAGGTGGTGAAAATATCAGTGACAAAGAAGGGGCAGGTGGTGAAGATATTAGAGACCAGATAGGGGCAGGTGGTGAAAAGATCAGTGACAAGAAAGGGGCAGGAGGCGAAGAGATCAGTGACAAGAAAGGGGTAGGTGGTGAAGATATCAGAGACAAGGAAGGGACATGTGTTGAAGAGATCATTGACCAGACAGGGACATGTGGTGAAGAGATCAGCGACAAGCAATGGGTAGGTGGTGAAGTGATCAGCGACAAGCAATGGGCAGGTGGTAAAAAGATCAGCGACAAGCAATGGGCAGGTGGTGAAGAGACCAGCGACAAGCAATGGGCAGGTGGTGAAGAGACCAGCGACAAGCAATGGGCAGGTGGTGAAGAGACCAGCGACAAGCAATGGGCAGGTGGTGAAGAGACCAGCGACAAGCAATGGGCAGGTGGTGAAGAGACCAGCGACAAGCAATGGGCAGGTGGTGAAGAGACCAGCGACAAGCAATGGGCAGGTGGTGAAGAGACCAGCGGCAAGCAATGGGCAGGTGGTGAAGAGACCAGCGGCAAGCAATGGGCAGGTGGTGAAGAGACCAGCGACAAGCAATGGGCAGGTGGTGAAGAGACCAGCGACAAGCAATGGGCAGGTGGTGAAGAGACCAGCGACAAGCAAAGAGCAGGTGGTGAAGAGATCAGCGACAAGCAATGGGCAGGTGGTGAAGAGACCAGCGACAAGCAATGGGCAGGTGGTGAAGAGATCAGCGACAAGCAATGGGCAGGTGGTGAAGAGATCAGCGACAATCAATGAGCAGGTGGTGAAGAGACCAGCGACAAGCAATGAGCAGGTGGTGAAGAGATCAGCGACAAGCAATGGGCAGGTGGTAAACAGATCAGCGACAAGCAATGGGCAGGTGGTGAAGAGATCAGTGACATGGAAGGGGTAAGGGGGTGAAGAGATCAGTGACAAGGAAGGGGTAGGGGGTGAAGAGATCTGCGACAAGGAAGGGGCAGGGGGTGAAGAGATCAGCAAAAAAAAGAAGGGGCAGGTGAAGAAGAGATCAGGGAAAAGGAAGGGGTAGGTGATGAAAAGATCAGCGACAAGCAATGGGAAGGTGAAGAAGAGATCAGTGACAAGGAAGGTATAAGGGGGTGAAGAGATCAGTGACAAGGAAGGGGTAAGGGGGTGGAGAGATCAGTGACAAGGAAGGGGTAAGGGGTGAAGAGATCAGTGACAAGGAAGAGGTAAGGGGGTGAAGAGATCAGTGACAAGGAAAGGGGAGAGGGTGAACAGATATGCTACAAGGAAGGGGCAGATGGTGACGAGATCAACAAAAAAAGAAGGGGTAGGTGGTGAGATCAGCAAAAAAAGAAAGGGTAGGTGGTGAGGAGATCAGCAAAAAAAGAAGGGGCAGGTGGTGAAGAGATCAGTGACAAGGAAAGTTTAGGTGGCAAAGTGATCAGTGAACTTTGTCATAGGAATGTTTATCAATTGCTTCATTATCTCCCTGCTCACAGAAACTAGATACACTTTTTTAATACCAGCCTGTAAAACTACTGTATACAATGAAGGAAATAAGTATTTGATCCCCTGCTGATTTTGAATGTTTGCCCACTCACACAGAAATGATCAGTCTAAAAATCGAATGGTAGGTGTATTGTAACACAGAGACAGAATAGCAACAAAAAATTCAAAAGAAATGCATGTCTAACAAATTATGCACTGATTTGCATATTCATGAGGGAAATAAGTATTTGATTCCCTTCACAAAACATGACTTAGTACTTGGTGGCAAATCCCTTGTTGGCAATCACACAGATCAGATGTTTCCTGTAGTTGGCCACCAGGTTTGCACACATCTCAGGAGAGATTTTGGCCCACTCCTCTTGGCAGATCCTCTCCAAATGTCAGCATCCAAACCTTGATGACTTGGAAACTTGAACTTTCAGCTTCCTCCATAGATTTTCATTTGAATTAAGTTCTGGAGACTGGCTAGACCACTCCAGGACCTTAATGTGCTTCTTCTTGAGCCACTCCTTTGTTGTCTTGGCCATGTGTTTTGGGTCATTGTCATGCTGGAACACCCATCCATGACACATTTTCAATGCCCTGGCTGAAGGAAGAAGGTTCTCACCCAAGATTTGATGGGACATTGCCCCGTCCATTGTCCCTTTGATGCGGTGCAGTTGTCCTGTCCCCTTAGCAGAAAAACACCCCCAAAGCAGAATGTTTCCACCACCATGTTTGACAGTTGGGATGGTGTTCTTGGGGTTATAGGCAGCATTCCTCCTCCTCCAAACACGGCGAGTTGAGTTGATGCCAAAGAGCTCAATATCGGGTACAGTTTTGCATGACTGCGCAATTGTCATTCAAAGTGCAACAGCGCTGCAAGCTGGAAATTGGCCTGGGCAGGAAGGGGGTATAAGTGCCCTGTAGGCTAGTGGTTAACCACTTGTCGACCGCAGATAGCCGAATGACAGCTTCACTGCGGCCGGCCAGTTCTGGGAGGGTGTCACATGACGTCGTCCCAGAATGCGCCCTCCCGCGCGCACCCGGTGATCTCCATGATCGCTGTGTCCTTAGGTAAATCACAGCGGCCTTTTACCACGTGATCAGCTGGGTCCAATGACACAGCACATCACTGGTAAATGCAGTGGCCAGTTATCGGCTGCACTTTCCTCACGCTGTCACACCATGAGGAAAGTACTGCCGATAATAGGTAATTGTCAGAGGACAGATCGGCACCGATCATCAAGGCACTGATGATCAATGCCCTGATGGTCAGTGTCCAGCAGTGCAGTCCACCAGTGCTGCCCACCTGTGCACAGCAGTGCCGCCCACAAGTGCCCAGCAGTGCCAGCCACCTGTGCCCATCAGTGCCACCCACCTGTGCCCATCAGTGCCACCTATCAGTGCCCATCAGTGCTGCCTATCCGTGCCACCTCATCAGTGCCCATCTGTGCTGCCTATGAGTGCAGCCTCATCAATGCACATCAGTGAAGGAGAAAAAGTACCCGTTTGCAAAAATTTTATAATAGAAACTAAGAAAAACGTTTTTTTTTTTTCAAAATTTTTGCCCTTCTTGGTTTATAGCACAGAAAATAAAACACCCAGAGGTAAGTAAATACAATCAAGAGAAAGCTCTATTTGTGTGAAAAAAAATGATAAAAATTTCATATGGGTACAATGTTGTATGACCGCGCAATTGTCATTCAAAGTGTAACAGCGCTGAAAGCTGAAAATTGGTCTAGGCAGGAAGGGAGTATAAGTGCCCGGTAGGTAAGTGGTTAATAACCTATGAATATTTTTTATTAAAGAAAAAAGTACTTCCAGCACTGCATATTTTCACTAAAACAGCCCTCTTGTAATTGTTAGCAGCCAATTAATAAAAAACACTCAAATACAGCTTTTAGGAGCTTGCTAAATCTCAGATTACACTGGAATCTGATGAGCACACTGTAACTTTACCATCACCACATAGCATTTACTTACCTCATCATATCGATACATCAGCTTTAATCCTCGACACGACTTCTGCTTCTCTACATGACGTAATGCACACTCCAGGCAGAACACAACATTCTCATTCTCCTGCACAACCTTTAATAGTAAGAAGACAGAAAAAGAAAACCGTATCAGATACAAGAATACAAACATGTCTGACACTGGCCCTGGTCTGTTTAAGAACCTTTAAGGATGGAGCAGGAAAGAGATCTGTACTGTACTTGCCAGTGGCTCTAAGGCAGTGGTGGCCACAGTTTGATTGCGAGATGCTTGTGTTCTGCAACGGATTCCTCTCTAGGACTCCACACATTCTATAAAAATAATTATCTGACCACACAGCTTATTTTTATCAATACTCTATATGTGATGTTGTAAGCCGCTATAGGCTCTATAGATCTCCAGCCATCTACACTGGAGATCCTTAGACTCTGAAAACCAACAGACAACAGCAGTATCAAAGTTTACTGCAGAGCAATTGTAGATCGTTTTTACTTTTTGTGCACAAAAGACAAAACCACAAAGGACATGAAATATTCTTGTATCAAGACAGCATACCACAGGAGTGTCCTCCAGCAGCTGCCAAATATGTAATAAATCACATTGGAAGCCAATGTCCCATCATGGTCTATGAAAGCCTTCTACATCAAGTGACTGGAAAAGGGTATCACGTAAATTCATTTTAGCTTCAGATGGCAGCTGTAAATTTACATGAAGTGGAAATTGTTGCTCCTTTTAACTCAAACCAAAACCATTGTTCTACAGAAAATGCTAAATTGACCTTAAGCTGGCTACATACACTTCCCCAATAATTTGTTTTAGATTTTTATATTTCAATATATTTATTAAGAATTTTTAGAAACATTATACAGAAAGACAGGAGATGCAACCCACCAACAAGACGAGTTGCAAAACAAACAATAAGACAGTAAATACAAGTACATTGTGTAGCAAACTAACAACAGAATCGACCAATAAATCGTAATGAGGAATACAATGGTAGCATAAACAAAGTTTGATTGATTATGAGCAAATTTCTCCATAAACAAGGTGGTATGAATAATCTCATTAAAATAATAGACAAAATTATAGAGAACAAAAAAATGAGGAAAGAACTGTAGAAGAAAATAAAGAATAAAACCCAGGAAAAAAAATGAGAGAGGGCCAGCCAAGAGTCCATTAAATAGCAGAAATATACCAAATCCATGGATCCCAAGTGCTCTCAAATTTAGAAGTATTGTTGTTAAGTATACTAGTAAGTTTGTCATTAATCATAATCCAATTAAGTTTCTGCTTAACTAATTCCAGCAAAATTGTTGACTGTTTCCAACGTTTGGCTATCGTAATTCTCTCTGCCAACAGGATATAAAGAATCAGTTTAACCGATTTCTTAGGAATATCAGTGGGCAATAAATGAAAGAGCTATTTCAGGGGATCGACGAATATTAACCTCCGTTACCAAATAAAGGAAATTAAATAAAGGGATCCAAAACCTAGTCACCACAGGGCATTTCCACCATATGTGGAGCATAGTACCCTCTTGTCAATGTCGAAAACGGCTGGGTGACACAGAAGGGTACATTTTAGCAAGACATGTAGGGACCAGATACCACCAAAGAAGCGTTTTGTAGTTAGATTCAATGAGTGTAGTGTTATTGGAGATTTTAGATAGAGCATCAGCCGTATTCCGCCAAGTGTCCAGCTCCAGAGAAATATTTAAATCCCTTTCCCAATGTATCATAAAAGAGAGCTTAATATTTAGATCAACAAGGGAAGCATGTATTAGATAGATGACCTTTCACCATCCCCATAGCCCTACTTGTTTTAGATGGTTATAGGTTTGTTTATGTCAATATAGCAGCAGTTCTTCTATTTATCTTCTGGCTGCAGAGGTAACCGTACTGAAACTTCCAGGTTATGCTCCTTCAGCTGCCATGTTTGCACTGTGTGAATAGTGGAGGACCTAATTTTGAATTGCACTGGTTTTTTTTGGCAATGACCATTCTTGGTTCTGTTTGCTGTGGACAAAGGCATGCTACACTTTGTGGTACTGACATAAATATTAAAATATTACTGAATTCCATTTTTGGAGTTCTAGTATTTAGTCTAAAACGAATTCTAGTGTAGCCAGGTGTTGGACTACAGAAACATGGAGAAGGACACATTTCCAACTTTACGGACCACCTAGTAACCAATCACCTGCTGCTTAACTTGAATAGTTAACTCCGGCAGCTCCCGCTCCCACCCCCCTGGTCCAGTGCTGTGCTCCGCTGTCCAGAACTGTGTGCAAGTCTCTGCTTCAGGCGTATCATGTTATGTGCTAGATCTTCTTTCATTCAGCACTGAGTAGTCCTCTATGCAGAAAGTGACGTTGATGTGATGACACCAGTGCCGTCCTCTGTATCATTAGGGCCTGTGATGACAGGTTCTGGGCTTGTGGTAAGGAGTTTGAGTTGATTCTTGGATCATTTATTGACAGGCCCATCTGACCTGCTTCAAGCAGGCTTTGCATTCCCATTGATGTATATGAGAATGACAAAAACACACTTAAAGCAAATAAAATCCTGACAACACTGACCCTTACACAGAGTTCAGGGTAATGTGGTACCCTGCACATTAGGAAGTGGGTTGAATATCATAGGGTGGGGGGTGTGAAGAAGGGGAGGGGACATAGCTGAGGGGGGGGGGTGAAATTGGGGGTAGAGGACATGACTGTGGTTGAAGGGGGTGCATGAAGGGGGGTAGTGAGGAGTGTAAAGGGGGGTAGAGGGCATGCCTGTGGAGGGAGGGGGTATGAAGGAGAAGAGCATATGGCTGTGGGGGGGTGGAGGGAGGGGGTGTGAAGGGGGAAGCACATATGGCTGTGGGGGGGAAGGGGTAAGAGGATATGGCTGTGGGGGAGGGGGGGGTGTGAAGGGGGTAGAGGATATGGCTGTGGGGGGAGAGAGGGGGGTAGAGGACTGGCTGTGGGGGTATGTGGAGGGGTGTACAGGACATGGCTGTGGATGTTGGAGTGTGTGAAGGGGGGTAGAGGACATGGCTGTAGGGGGGGGAAGTGATGTAAAACACTTATTTTCCTTTTATGTTTACATTGCTTTATGTTAATATTGTTAAAGTTGTTGCTGTTAATATTTATTTTTGTAACTTTATTCTGCATAAAACATTTCACAGTGTCATTTCATGAGATCATTTACGAAGGCATGTTTAAGGGCAGAATTAGGGGCGGAGCAGGGCAGGGTAGGGGTTGGGTGGGGCAACTAACGGCGAGTAAAGGCCTGCCTAGTAGCTCAGGACCTACAATTCTGAGCTCTGTTGTAGAGCACTGAAAATCCACAGTGTTGACAACAGCAGAGTACTTAGTTACATTTCCCTAACAGCACTGTCCAAAATTCTTACTATATATGCACGTTTAGCACCCAGAGAATTATATTAATGAAACTCAGTAGGTTGAAAGTTTGTCAATTTTGTCCATCTATCCTTGTCAGCAAAGTCTATATTTACTCACCATGGAAAGATAACAGAGGTGCTGGCATATCTGACATCTCCTCTCTGAAGTCTCCAACTGCAACCATTTCCGAGGCTTCTTCTTCCCATCTACTATCGAGTTGCTGGTGTCGTGACTTCCGTATCGTGCAGATGAGTGGAGACCCGCTTCAAAGAGCTCCTTTCTTTGCCTCAACTCTGTATCCCTGACCAACAAAACAGAAAGTTAGAAACTGCATTGCCTATCACTCAACCAAGACTACAAAGCTCTTCTGTCACTTTGTAATGAAGGCCAAGCGACACTAAAGCTATATTCACCTAAGTATAAAAATTATTTATACATAATTCCTTTTCTGTATTTCTTTTGGTTCCAAACATACTGCTTTTTTTTTTTTTTTTTTTTTTTTTTTTGACAGTACAGTTAGATTGAAGTTGCAATACACTGTATAGTTACGATTATTGTTCATCAACAGGTACCTTTGGCCACAAAGGCGCTATATAGTAGACAAAAAAAAACAGCATTACAGGGGAAACAGGAGACACCATCTCATTTACAAACACTAGAAAGCATTGCATGGGCAGGGATCGGGACAAGCTCGGCAATGCTTGCTCTAGTAGTAGTAGGACTTGTTTATTCAGTGAATAGTGACAGATTTCAGAACCTGTCCAACCATGATTGGAAATGAAAGTACGACTATGAATGGGGCCAAGTGCTATATACACTTGTTCAACTAGGGAGCTAAAAAAAAAAAAAACACTTATTGATAGATCTTTTTGGAGTATGGTAAAATGTAAATATTAAATCCAAGGTTTTCAATAAGCTATGTCGGCTACAGACAGAAAAGCCATCTTATACCGACCAACCAACTGGTTTACCTAAAGAAGGAATTAGAAGCCAGCAAAAGAAACAGTTTAGGCCTCATGCACACTGGGCATTTAGCCATACTGATGCATGAGACTTCAGCATTTAGGTGCAGGTCGAAGGACCAGGCACACTGTCCAACCCTCCTGCCAGTTGCCTGTAAATGTCTATAAGAGGCTGACAGTTACTGCTGCTGGATGGGGCTGCACTGAGTGCTTCTAACCTCTAGGGAAGTATTTGTCCAGGGACACATTCTTGGAATGCAGACTGCTTGTATTGCAAGCATTAGTCCCTTAGAGCACACTACCATAAATGTTAGTACCGCTTGGTGCCCCGTCCAGCTGCAGCAGCTTTCAACCTACCAGAGTTTTACAGGCTGCCAGCAGTGGGGCTGAACAGTGCGCCTGTGCCTTCCATCTGAACTTAAACATCGGAGTCTTATGTGCTTGGGTGCACAAGGCCTTGTTTATTCAGTGAACAGTGACAGATTTTGGAACCTGCCCAACCACGATTGGAAATGAAAGTACGACTATGAATGCTGCCAAGTGCTATATGCACTTGTTCAACTAGGGAGCTAAAAAAAAAACACTTATTGATAGATCTTTTTGGAGTATGGTAAAATGTAAATATTAAATCCAAGGTTTCCAACAAGCTATGTCGGCTACAGACAGAAAAGCCATCTTGTACCGACCAACCAACTGGTTTACCTGAAAGGAGGATTTAGAAGCCAGCAAAAGAAACAGTTGAGGCCTGATGCACACTGGGCATTTAGCCATACTGATGCATGAGACTCTGGCATTTAGGTGCAGGTGGAAGGAACAGGCACACTGTCCAACCCTCCCACCAGCAGCCTGTAAACATCTATAAGAGGCTGACAGTTACTGCTGCTGGATGGGGCTGCACTGAGTGCTTCTAACCTCTAGGGAAGTATTTGTCCAGGGACACATTCTTGGAATGTAGACTGCTTGTGTTGCAGGCATTAGTCCCTGGGAGCATACTACCATAAATGTTTGTACCGCTTGGTGCCCCGTCCAGCTGCAGTAGCTTTCAACCTGCCAGAGTTTTACAGGCTGCCAGCAGTGGGGCTGAACAGTGCGCCTGTGCCTTCCACCTGAAATTAAACATCGGAAGTCGTATGCGCTTGGGTGCACTAGTGTGCATGAGGCCTTGTTTATTCAGTGAACAGTGACAGATTTCAGAACCTGTCCAACCATGATTGGAAATGAAAGTACGACTATGAATGGGGCCAAGTGCTATATGCACTTGTTCAACTAGGGAGCTAAAAAAAAAACACTTATTGATAGATCTTTTTGGAGTATGGTAAAATGTAAATATTAAATCCAAGGTTTCCAATAAGCTATGTCGGCTACAGACAGAAAAGCCATCTTGTACCGACCAACCAACTGGTTTACCTAAAGGAGGAATTAGAAGCCAGCAAAAGAAATAGTTTAGGCCTCATGCACACTGGGCATTTAGATCATAAGCGAAATCTCCTGCGCTCAAGGACTCAGGCGGGTGGCGAATAGATGGAATCAGACCTGGAAAGATCGACCACCAATGCATGTAGAGTTGTGCAGCTCCAAATAAGGCTGGGGAAGCCCGACCAATACTGCAAATCGAAACAAAAACCAGAAGCGCACCAACCTTGCGCATTACCTCAGTAACCAAAGTTTATTAATTATAAAAGAATACTCACAAACCGCGAATAAAATAAAGAGCCAGTGCGGATCCCATCATGGGGGTAGATACTCAGTCCACTGACGCGTTTCGAAGGACATCCCTTCTTCATCAGAGCTCTGATGAAGAAGGGATGCCCTTCGAAACGCGTCAGCTGTACTGAGTATCTACCCCCATGATGGGATCCGTGCTGGCTCTTTATCTTTCAGGTCCCTTTGAGGACTTACGTGCCTGATTTTATTCGCTGTTTGTGAGTATTATTTTATAATTAATAAACTTTGGTTACTGAGGTAATGCGCAAGGTTGGTGCGCTTCTCGTTTTTGTTTCGATTTGAAACACTGGGCATTTAGCCATACTGATGCATGAGACTCTGGCATTTAGGTGCAGGTGGAAGGAACAGGCACACTGTCCAACCCTCCTGCCAGCTGCCTGTAAATGTCTATAAGAGGCTGACAGTTACTGCTGCTGGATGGGGCTGCACTGAGTGCTTCTAATCTCTAGGGACGTATTTGTCCAGGGACACATTCTTGGAATGCAGACTGCTTGTATTGCAGGCATTAGTCCCTTAGAGCACACTACCATAAATGTTAGTAACGCTTGGTGCCCCGTCCAGCTGCAGCAGCTTTCAACCTGCCAGAGTTTTACAGGCTGCCAGCAGTGGGGCTGAACAGTGCGCCTGTGCCTTCCATCTGAACTTAAACATCGGAGTCTTATGCGCTTGGGTGCACAAGGCCTTGTTTATTCAGTGAAAAGTGACAGATTTCGGAACCTGCCCAACCACGATTGGAAATGAAAGTACGACTATGAATGGGGCCAAGTGCTATATACACTTGTTCAACTAGGGAGCTAAAAAAAAAAAAAAACACTTATTGATAGATCTTTTTGGAGTATGGTAAAATGTAAATATTAAATCCAAGGTTTTCAATAAGCTATGTCGGCTATAGACAGAAAAGCCATCTTGTACCGACCAACCAACTGGTTTACCTAAAGGAGGAATTAGAAGCCAGCAAAAGAAACAGTTTAGGCCTGATGCACACTGGGCATTTAGCCATACTGATGCATGAGACTTCAGCATTTAGGTGCAGGTGGAAGGAACAGGCACACTGTCCAGCCCTCCTGCCAGATGTCTGTAAACATCTATAAGAGGCTGACAGTTACTGCTGCTGGATGGGGCTGCACTGAGTGCTTCTAACCTCTAGGGACGTATTTGTCCAGGGACACATTCTTGGAATGCAGACTGCTTGTGTTGCAGGCATTAGTCCCTGGGAGCACACTACCATAAATGTTTGTACCGCTTGGTGCCCCGTCCAGCTGCAGCAGCTTTCAACCTGCCAGAGTTTTACAGGCTGCCAGCAGTGGGGCTGAACAGTGCGCCTGTGCCTTCCACCTGAAATTAAACATCAGTGTCTTATGTGCTTGGGTGCACTAGTGTGCATGAGGCCTTAAAATGTCACAGTGAACATATACAACAGGCCTCTTTTCTATTACCTGAGCTCTCCAAGCAGAGTAGAAATGATGCCCAGAGTTGGACTGTTCTCTTTTTTTGCCTCAGCTGTTGCAATTTGATACAGTAATTTCTCCATCGAGAACGGTTTTGCTATGTGTCGACGTTTCATTTCCTGTAAAGGAGACATTTATGTGTTCAGCAGGTGGAAAGTTTGCAAAGAAGAAAAAGAAACATCAAATGTTGTGAGCTAAATCATTCTAATAATCAGTTAGCAGTGGCAGTGGTGTGCAGGAGTGAGGTATGCTATTCAGATATAGGATACAAGAGTCATTATTTCCCCTACATAAAAATAGCATACATAATGTGCATATGGTCATCAAGTATTTTCTTTCCTTTAACTGTAGCAATGTCAAACATCTGAGCATGGAAATGCTCAGGTAGATTACATATTTTGGTACCATATATTTTGACATGGTGCTTAGTATTCTGAAAAGACTATACGATAAAGAGGTAAGAATCTTGTCTCAGGTGCTGTAGTCCTAGCGTTTGAAAAAAGTAAAATAGCAAAATGTCTCCCTGTATGTGGTTTGATTGCAGGATAAGTAGTTCTCTGTTGTCCTCTTTGAGTGGAGAAAAGGGGACCCATAGATAACAAGATGATTAGAATTAAGATTAGGCAATGATTGTGATGTTTACAACCATCACTTCTGTAGTATAAATGCCTACATAGGTATACACTGTTACACGTATAAATTGTTAATAAATAGGGTAAATTGATTGAATTAATGACTGAATTACGGACCGAAGTGAACACCAATAAGTTGCATAAAATAAGTTCAGTAAAGATTTATTTTGCTAGGTGAACAGCCTCTACTCTTGTTGTAAATCAACCCCAATGGATTGGTATTAGAAAAAGGTCTATATCTAATTTAAGAGATGCATTCCTAGCTGCAGCAAGCAGGCCATGAGCTCAGAGGCCAAAAACAAGAAAATAAAGAGTTTTTTTGGGGTGACATAAAATACTTAGTATTCAGGTCCTAAACATTCCACAAATGTAAAAATTGCACACTCACATTTGCTTGTGCTGAAATATCGCACCAATATAATAGCTTGTGTGATGCTCAGCTGGAGACCAGCATGCGTTCCACAGACCGGAAGTTCTTTCCAGAAGTGATATCAAACTGAACCGGAAGTGACTGCAAACATGGAACCTTGACTAGTTTCGCTATCCCAGTGTTCTCAGAAAGCCATGACTTCCATGATTCAGGATGGCTTCTTGAGGTCGCTGGGATAGTGAAACTAGTTCTCCAGTTGGCGGAGCTGAGTTTCACACAGGCTTTTTACATTAGTGCCATGCTTGGGCACAATCATATGTGAGTGTTCATTTCTTACATCTGTTTTTACATTGGTTTGAATAAAAATACTGCACTATAAGTATCTTCTCTGGAATGTTGAAACAATTCTGGTGCGATTGTTCCTGGAGAGTGACCATTGAAGAACTAGTACATCGATTTGGCGGATATCCCTGGGCATGACATAGGCGCTTGTTGACTTTTATTCATTTAGAGGTTGCTGGCCTGTTGGTGAGTGAGCAGTCTATGTCATGGTGGTATGTGCTGCACAGTCTGAGGACCCACAGAAAAATAAAATTTGGAATTTATGCACATGGTGTTGGGGACTTGTTTACAATTTAAAGACTTTTTGGCACATTTATACTTATTTAGGGACTGTTTATCTATTTATTTGTGTTAAGCGCCATCCTTGTTGTTGTTAAATACTGATTAGATGTGTAATTCACACTTTTAAAGGAGCAGCTTCACTATTATTTTATTGTATATATTCTTTTCTGCATTTGAGTATGTGGTAAGGGAAGGTGCCTTTATGTATATTTCTGGAAATTAGTTGCCTGAGCCACCTAGCAATGGTGGACAGGAAGAAGGGTGTCCTCTGCAAGGGTTCAGGGGCTGGACAAAGGGACTTGGGAATAAAGGTTGTGGCTTTTATATCGACCCTGACAGTCCTGACCACATTCAAACAATGTAGGGCTACTTCCTTGTCATGTAATGGGGCAGGACAGAGGGAAAAGAAGACAATGTCCTCATTAAAGTGAGAGGAGGAAACCTCCTTAGGCAAAAAGGAAGATTTTGGTCTCAAAACAACCCCGTCCTTGTGAAAAACAAGAAAATGCTTTTTACAAAGGAGATCTGCTAAGAAACACACCTTTCAAACATGATAGCGACCAAGAAGGTAATCTTAAAGGTGAGGTCTCCAAAGGAATACCTCAAATCGGTTCAGACAAGAGTCTCTGGAAAGCAGAGAGATCCTAAGGTAACACTGGAGGTTAAATTGGGGGAATTTTATGAGCAACTCCCTTTAGAAAAATCCTGTTAAGAAATTGCGAGGGTTGGAGGATGGATAAGGCAGAAACCTGTCCCTTGAGGGTACTTGGAGCCCAGGAGCTGTTCAAGACCACAGTGAAGAAAGGCCAGAACACATATGAAAGAGAGAGACATGAATGTTTCACCACGTTGGTAACAACCCATGTAATCCATACATACAAAGAAACCAAAACAAATAAGTTCAGAAATTACGTTATGTGTAATAAAATGGAATAACACAAGGACAAAGTGTTGAACACATGAAGAAAGGGAGGTGCAAAAAGGCAAAGAAAGCCAGGACACCGGCTGAAATCTATCAGTAAATAGAAAACAATCCTGCCCCTTGTCAGTGCAAATCAATATCAGCTGGCTCAGTCTCAACTGATGGCTTGATCTCAACTGATGGTGTCACACAGGAAACATCTCATGATGAGTAAAAGCAAAGAGCTCTCTCAAGACCTTCACAACTTTATTGTTGCAAAACTTACTGATGGCATTAATTACAGAAGGATTTCTAAACTTCTGAATGTTCCAGTGACAATCTGGAAGTGGAAAGAACATCATTTCACCATAAACTGGCCACGACTAGGTGCACCTTGCAATATTTCTGACAGAGGAGTGAAAAGAATTATCAGAAGAGTTGTCCAAGAGCCAAGGACCACTTGTGGAGAGCTTCAGAAAGACCTTGAATTAGCAGGTACAATTGTTTCAAAGAAAATAAATAATGCACCCAACCGCCATGTCCTGCATGCATGCACACCACATAAGACTCCACTGCTGAATAAAAAGCATGTTGAAGCTCATTTAAAGTTTGCTGCACAACATTTAGACAAGCCTGTGAAATACTGGGAGAATATAGTCTGGTCAGATGATACCAAAATTGAACTCTTTGGATGCTATAATACACACCATGTTTGGAGGTCAAATGACACTGCACATCACCCCAAAAACACCATACCAATAGTGAAGTTTGGAGGTGGGAACATTGTGACATGGGGCTGTTTTTCAGCATACAATACTGGCAAATATATAATTGAAGGAAGGATGAATGGAAAAAATGTACCAAGACATTCTTATTAAAAATCTGCTGCCATCTACCAGGATGATGAAGATGAAATGAGGGTGGACATTTCAGCAAGACAATGATCTCAAACACAAAGCCGAGGAAACTCTCAATTGGTTTTAAAGAAAGAAAATAAAGCTGCTAGAATAGCCCAGCCAATCACCTTACTTGAATCTAATATAAAATCTATGGAAAGAACTAAAGATCAGAGTTCATAGAAGAGTCCTGTGGCACCTTCAAGATTTGAAGACTGTGTGTGGAAGAATGGGAAAAATTCACACCAGAGCAATGCAGGCGACTAGTTTCTCCATACAGGAGGCGTCTTGAAACTGTCATTACCAATAAGGGATTTTATATGAAGTATTAAATAAATTTCAGTTAGCATATTCAGTACTTTTTCACTGTCATCTTGTTTTATTACACATAACTTAATTTCTGAACTTATTTGTTTTGGTTTCTTTTTATGTATGGATTGCATGTGTTGTTACTGACATGTGGTGAAAATTTCATGTCAGTAGCACCTTTAGAAATATATTTACTGAGAAAAATGGTGACATATTCAATACTTATTTTACCCGCTGTATAAATATGCCAGTGTCTTTACTATTTCACATTTTTAGGATTGTTAAATGCTTGTACCCCTCACCTGACCCCTAAGTTATTACTGTGTTCTGTAGCAATATGGAGGATCAGAGGATGGCACTGCAACGCATAATGAGGGACAAAGGCATCTGACACTCTCGAAAGTGTTGACTGTTTAAATTGTAAATATTTTAACTAAAGGCAAAACTTTCTTTTTCATTTTTGAAAGTTATAAAACCCCTCTCAGTTTTTTTGCCATCTGTATCCCATTGGGTAGATTTTCATTCACTTTCTGTCCCCTAGCCAAAACAGAAATACAGAGTAAATCTCTCCAAAGTGAGGGAATTCCAGTGTCATCAGAATTAGTGTCTCCATTGGAAGATTTCCCTTCTATTAGTGCTCTTTTGTCAACTCAAAATGTGGGATTATTTACCATTATCATTGAAAAAGAAAGTAAAACAGGACAAATAGAGAGGGTGAATCTCCCTAACAGGGGCACAGACAACAATAAAAAGTGAGAGGTGTTCTGATCCCTCTCCACTCTGTCCAAAACTAAAAAAAAAATGATTTAGTTACACTTTAGGATTTTGATAGAGACTGCAGTGCAGGAATGGAGGAAAGGTAGAAGACGGGGCCACTGAAGAGTTGAGTAAAAGAGCTCTACTTTTTTGGGACTCTTTCACTGTAATCTATTCTTTTAACCCGACAGAGTCGCTTTGATAAAGTGTTTATAGCTAATGAAATCTTTTACATCTCTTCTTGTGGAATTCACCTCTATTGCACAATAACTTAAATTTAAAAAAATATATGATCAGGGTTGTAGCAGGCAGTATAAAATAATTTGTATACCTTGGCAGTTTTGAAGCCCATGCTTGTCCACTGGGTGGTAGCAAAGTGCACAGTTTCGGAAACACTGTAGCCACAGCACACTTTTGACACAAAGGATCCTGGGAAGCAGACAACAAACTGCCCGCTCTGCTGCTGTACAGTACGGTGTACTTTGATCCCCTCTTTGCAAAGCACCTCTGGGGAGATCTGCAAAAAGGATATATGATAATAAATTGAACCTTGTTTGTTGATCACAATATCCAATCAGCAGGCAGCTGTGGAAGTGTAAAGACGAAATGCAGCTAACCTTTCTTGACAACCAGCCATGACTGACATTTTGCTTACACTATAGGTACAATGTTAGCAAAAAAAAAAAAAAAACAAATAAGGCATACAGAACCTAAACACTGTAAAATGACCAGAAAACCTTCAACGTTAGGCTAGGAGAGAGATTAGACTATCATAGAAGGATTTCTATGTTCAGGTATATCAATCTGGACCAGGGGCGGACTGACCATTTGGAAACTCGGGCACTGCCCGAGGGCCCGGGGTCAGTAGGGGGCCCCATGAGATGCCCCTGGTACCTTTTTCATAGGCTTTTTTGAGTTTGGGCAAGGACACAGGGGCCCCATGATCCCCTATTGCCCAGGGGGCCCCATGAGTTGTTGAATCAGTATCATACAATTACAAATTAAGTAGCTATAACTAAAACTTTGTTGTGGATAGAGCAAAGAAGGGTTAAAACCTTGCAAGTTATTCTTTGCTGACTGTATCATTATAGAAATCCCCCTTCACTTCCTGTCTCACGGACAAAACAAGTCGTTTGAGGAAATCTCCCATTTTAGACAGTTGTAAATGATACACATGCCCCCATTACATGAAAGATGGATTGGTGCTGCACTACTCAGTGCATAAATGAATAAAAAGGAATATATAAAAAAAATATAAAATACATCAATGTATAAGTAAATATAACCCGCACCCAAGTGTGGAGATGAAAAACTGCTAGAAACAACCAGTGCAAAAAGGTGACCAAAACAATTAAGCAAACAACATATTAATAGAGAACATCCATATAGCAACAAAGTGTATTCAAATGACTAGAGATAAGCAGGTGGATAAAAAAGAAAAATATATATAAATGATGTAATAAAATCAAACGTGACACAATATAAATGTCCCAAACTGAATGAAATGTGATTCTTCAGCACAAGCCATGAAACATCCAGTGATGTCAACAATCAATCAATCCTCCACCAGCTAGCATGCGTGCGCACCTTCAGACTGCGACACTCACGGGGTCATAAAGGCATAGAAAGCATTCAAACGATGATCGCAATATATGTTGCCCTCGATAGTAATCAAAAGGACTCCTCTACGGTGAAAAGGATGAGCACTCACAGGCAAAACTCAGATGTTCCAAATTGGACGGAAGCGTAGTGACATTACCGGTACGGACGGCAGCCACCATCTTGGTACTCCCAACCACATACACCCATTCTGCAGTGTGTTGCAGTGTTTCTTGCCTGTATGGGTCTACGGACCACATTTTTAAATGTGAGTAGTCACTTTGTATGTTTTTTTAATAAAGTATCTGACTTACTACACTATGGGAAGTCTTCTTGTTTAAATCTTCCATGTGGGGATACTGGAGGTGAAAAGCGGTCTATGGCCATATCCTTATTTGGACATCTGAGTTACGCCTTTGAGTGCTCATCATTCACCGTAGAGGAGTCCTTTTGATTACTAACGAAGGCAACATATATTGCGATCATCGCTTGAATGCTTTCTATGCCTTATGATCCCGTGCGGGTCACAGTCTGAAGGTGAGCTAGCTGGTGGAGGATTGATTGATTGCAGTGAACATTGGATGTTTCATGGCTTGTGCTGAAGAATCACATTTCATTCAGTTTGGGACATTTATATTGTGTCACGTTTGATTTTATTACACTTTACATATATTTTTCTTTTTTTCATCCCCCTGCTTATCACTAGTCATTTGAATACACTTTGTTGCTATATGGATGTTCTCTATTAATATATTGTTTGCTTAATTGTTTTGGTCACCATTTTGCACTGGTTGTTTCTAGCAGTTTTTCATCTCCACACTTGGGTGCGGGTTATATTTACTTATACATTGATGTAATTTATATTTTTTTATATGTTCATTTTTATTCATTTATGCACGGAGTAGCGCACCACCAATCCATCTTTCATTCATTGGTGTCACTATTTGGAGTGTAGCTAGGTGTCTGTGACCACTTGGGGGTGATTACAGTTATTTGGCAGAAGGATGGTTTCCTTTTCTTTTTCTTGTCCCCATTAGAGATTTCCCCACACCTCCGTGCAGAAAAATGAAGATGCATCAAATTCCTGAATATAGTCATGGCCAAAAATACTGGAACTCCTGCATTTCTGTCAGATAATGTACAACTTCACCCAGACAATTGTTGCAATTACATATGTTTAGGCATTCCCATGTTTATTTCTTTTGTTTGTATTGGTATGTCACAAAAAAGTGGAGAAACAAAAAGCCAAATTGGACACATTCCAAACAAAACCCCAAAAATGGACTGGACAAAATATTGGTACCCTCAAGTTAATATTTGGTGGTGCACCCTTTGGAAAAAAAATCACTGAAATCAATTGCTTCCTGTAGCCATCAATGAGTTTCTTACACCTCTCTACTGCAATTTTGGACCACTCTTCTTTCACTAACTGCTCCAGGTCTCTCAGATTGGACACCTTTTCCCAACTGCTGTTTTGAGATCTCTCCACAGGTGCTCTACGGGACTGAGATCTGGACTCATTACTGGCCAGTTCAGTAGTCTCCAGCGCTTTGTCTGAAATAATTTCTGGGTGCTTTGGGTCACTGTCCTGCTGTAAGACCCATGACCTCTGACAGAGACCCAACTTTCTGACACCGAGCCCTACATTGCACTCAAGAATTCTTTGGTTGTCTTCAGATTTCATAATGCCATGCACACAGTCAAGACATCCAGTGCCTGAAGCAGCAAGGCAACCCAAAAACCTTAGTGAACCTCCACCATGTTTGTCTTTAAGGACTGTATTTTTTTCTATAAAGACCTCATTGCTTTTCCTGAAAATAGTAGAATTATGGGCTTTACCAAAAAGCTGTAATTTCATTTCGTATGTCCCAACACATTTTCCCAAAAGGATTTTAGCTTCCTCAGGTAAGTTTTGGCAAATTCCAATCTGGCTTTTTCATGTTTCTGTGTCAGCAGTGGGATCCTCCTAGGCTTCCTACCATAACATACCTTTTCAGTCAGATGGCGACATATAGTGCGAGCTGACACAGTTGTAACCTGTGCCTGAAGGTCAGCTTGAATTTGTCTGGAAGTTAATCGCTACAGTGCATTCAAACAATCCTTTATTTATTTATTTCAGGTACTTATATAGCATTGTCAATTTACGCAGCGCTTTACATATATATTGTACATTCACATCAGTCCCTAACCCTCAAGAGGTGTACAATCTATACACATTCATACATACACATACTAGGGCAAATTTAGACAGGAGCCAAATAACCTACTAGCATGTCTTTGGAATGTGTGAGGAAACCGGAGTACCCGGAGGAAACCCACGCAGGAACAGGGAGAACATGCAAACTCCATGCAGGAGGCGCCATGGTTGGGAATCAAACCCATGACCCATTTACTGCAAGGCAGACGTGCTAACCACTAAGCCACTGTGCTGCCCTTTATTGCAATATTTGATAAATATTTCTCTTTCCTCCACGTCCAGAGAGATTCGCTACAGTGCCATGAGCTGTAAACTTCTTGACAACGTTGCACCTAGTGGACACAGGAACATTGAGATCTCTGGCGATGAACTTGTAACCTTGAGATTGTCCATGCTTTTCCACAATTTTTGTTCTGAAATTCTTAGACAATTCTTTGCTGCTCCTTCACTACTACATGCTTCATGTGGCACACAGAGACACCCAACAGAAAGATTGAGTAAATTTTTCACCATTTTAACTGGTTGCAGGTATGATTTAAATTTTGTCAGCACCTGTCAATGGATACAGGTGAGTTTTATTACAAATTACAGGAGCATCACAATCTTGGAATTCAATTATTTCTTACAATTTTGAGAATGTGTCAATACATTTTTGTCCAGTCCATTTTTGGGTGGTGTTGGCGTGGAATGTTTCAGATTTGGCTTTTTGTTTCTCCACTTTTTTTGTGTCATACCAATACAAACAAAAGAAATAAACATAACAATGCCTGAACATTTGTAATTGCAACAATTTTCTGGGCGAAGTCGTGCATTCATTTGCAGAAATCCAGGGGAGCCAATATTTTTTGCCATGACTGTACCAATAGACTGAGCTACGTATACCAATATACTGCACACTCAAACAATCTACTCAGAAGTTTTACTTCATTTTTTCAAACTAACAATATTTCAGCATGGTATTCCTGAGGTTCTTTAAGAGATGTGTTGCCGTAAAGAACCACCTCACTTTAAACCACCCCGTTACTCAACTGAATTAGTCATAATGAACCCTGTAATACTTAGCGAGCTGCCGTTTCAGGGTAACTACCTCCAATACAAAGCTGTGGTGAGAAAGGTCTTCCTACTGATAAAGTCATTTCCCTGCCACACCTCTGTGCCAGGTCCATAACCAGAAGGGAGCCTGGGGATGCTACTAAGTAAGTGAAGTAGGTTAGGTGACAGCATGGGGTAAGCAAGTGAGATATAGGTTATACCATAAATCAGCTAGAACTACAGTTTTTTTTATAAAAAGTGATTTTTGTTGTATGCATGAATGAGATCTGCTCATCATAAGAGTTTTTTTAATTTACACCAAGGATGCATTCCAGGTCATGTGCAGAGAATTCAAATTTTGCAGAAATTCAGTAACTACTATACTCAGTTCCCTTTGCATAATTTTGACACAATGCCCACAGCATTTATGTGAGGCATGAGATACCATATACCAAATATCTTGAATAGATCAACTTATAATCGAAGTTACAGAAATGCTGCTAAAACTAGTGACAGGTGAATTACCTTTCAGCTATCTTTTATTTTCTGCCAGCACAGAAGACAAAAGTACATAGATTGTGGTGGACAAGGAAGGGAACAAGGGGGTGCAAGAGATGTCAGATTAGGCACAACACTGTGCTTTTTATGACTACCATCTGTATGAACCTGGATGTACCATTATTTGCGTATTACAAATGCGGAATCAGCATTCTGTTTAGCAGCGTTGCACAGTAGTTTCCTGTTAATCCTCTTCTGTCACTGCACATCAACCAGACATGGGGGGGATTTACTAAAGCTGGCTCCCTCACAATCTAGTGCACCTGTGCATGGTAGCCAATCAGCTTCTAACCTCAGTTTTTTCAATTAAACTTTAGCAATAAAACCTGTAAGCTGATTGGTTTCCATGCGGAAGTGGGTAAACCAGCTTTAGTAAATAAACCCCGATCTGTCTGACTAACTGGACACACTCAAGTCTCTAATTATGAGAAACACACAAGGATCCTGCTAGCCAAAGACTACGTAATCTTTTTCCTTGCTGTATAGTGTAACTAAAATCAGAACTATGTTATTCAATATTGGAGAGAGTGAGGATGTATTATAAACAACTGGTTGGTTTTTGTGTTGTTTGTGTCCCTGTTGGGATGACTCACCATCTTTAATTGTCCTGGTAGTAACTGTCACGTCTATGGGTGAGGAAATAAAGAAAATCTCCTCACAGCCGATAAAAAAAAAAAAAAAAAAAAAACTAAGAGGGATTTTAACCATTTACAACTGTTTTCCAAATTAAAAAAAAGAAGTCTCAGATACAGCAGGTAAAATAAGTATTGAACACGTATCCATTTTTCTTGGTAAATATATTTCTAAAGGTGCTATTGACATGAAATTTTCACCACGTCAGTAACAACCCATGCAATCCATACATACAAAGAAACCAAAACAAATAAATTCAGAAATTAAGTTATGTGTAATAAAATGGAATGACAAAGGGAAAAAGTACTGAACACATGAAGAAAGGGAGGCGAAAAAAGGCATGGAAAACCAAGACACCAGCTTCAATCTATCAGTAATTGAAAAGCAATCTTGCTCCTTGTCAGTGCAAATTAATATCAGCTGATTCAGTCTCAACTGATGGCCTATAAAAAGGTGTCTCATTACCAAGGTGTCACAAAAGAAACACCTCATTATGGGTAAAAGCAAAGAGCTTTCTCAAGACATTTGCACCCTTATTATTGCAAACTCTACTGATGGCATTGGTTATAGTAGGATGTCTACACTTCTGAATGTTGCAGTGAGCACTGTTGGGGCCATAATCCGGAAATGGAAAGTACATAATTTCACCTAAAACCATCCACGACCAGGTGCTCCTCACAAGATTTCTGACAGAGGAGTGAAAAGAATTATCAGAAGAGTTGTCCAAAAGGACCACTTGTGGAGACCTTCAGAAAGACCTGGAATTAGTAGGTACAATTGTTTCAAAGAAAACAAAAAGTAGTGCACTCATACCATACCACTCATAACATACCACCATAAACATCATACCAACAGTGAAGTTTGGAGGTGGGAACATCATAGTGGGGCTGTTTTTCAGCATTCAGTACTGGCAAATGTCATATCATTGACGGAAGGATGAATGAAAAATGTACCAAGACATTCTTGATAAAAATCTGCTACCATCTACCAAGGTGATGAAGATGAAACAGAGTGGACATTTCAGCAAGACAATGATTCCCAACACAAAGCCAAGGAAACTCTCAACTGGTTTTAAAGAAAGAAAATAAAGCTACTAGAATGGCCTGGCCAATCACCTGACTTGAATCCAATAGAAAATCTATATAAAGAACTAAAGATCAGAGTTCATAGAAGAGTTCCATGGAACCTTCAAGATTTGAAGACTGTAGTAGAATGGACCAAAATCATACCTGAGCAATGCATGCAACTAGTTTCTCCATACAGGAGGCATCTTGAAGCTGTCATTACCAACAAAGGATTTTGTATGAAGTATTGAAAAAATTTCAGTTTGTGTGTCCAATACTTTTTTCCTGTGTGATTCCATTTTATTACACATAACTTAATTTCTGGATTTATTTGTTTTGGTTTCTTTGTATGTGTGGATTGCATGGGTTGTTAACGACATGTTGTGAAAATTTCATGTCAATAGCACCTGTAGAAATATATTTACCAAGAAAAATGGTGACGTGTTCAATATTTACTTTACCTGCTGTATATATTTAGCTTTATAAAGAATCTGTCACTTTGCCCCTTGACTTCTATTTCTTATTCTGACATTGCTGATATTATAACTCAGAATATAAGGTAAAATTGAAGGCATGAATGCCATGCCTAACATCTGATATAACACACTATAAATGTATAACACACTTTAACTGCACAATGCAATAACCAGTCTAGGAGTAAGCATACAGTCTGGTAGATATTTTCATGCTGAAGTGGAAAGAAAGTCAAAACCTTACTAAGCTTAAATCTACTCCCACTCCCATTCTAAGCCTATTCTATCTACACTGTAAAAGGAAAGATACCAAAACTTACCCATTCTGAAGTCACTCTGGTCCAGTCACATGATGTCTCCAGAACCAGCTTCAGTGTAGAGGAGAGAACTCAAACAATGGCTTCAGAGCCTATGCAGTGACATTACTGCTTTCTATGGGGCATCCATTGTCAGCTGTCCCTCCTCTACACTGAAGCTGGTGCTGGGACTTGATCATGTGACCAGACTGGAGTGACTTCAAAATAGACAAGTATGGGCATCTTTCCTTTTACAAGGCAGACAGAATAGGCTTAGAGTGAGAGTAGATTTAGGCTGAGTTAGGTTTTGACTTGCCTTCCACTTTAAGTGTAGACATGCACTAATGTGACAATAAATGATTTCCTTATTCTCCAAATATAATCTATAAACATCCACTAATTCATTGCCGCATAATCTATTTTTCCTACAATTGCAGCAAAAAAAAAAAGAATTTGTGGATCTGAAGAAGACTGATAGCTGTAGAAGGTACTTGAGTTATGAATGCATCCTTGAATAGAAGATTGTTTAACTGAGGGTTTAGCTCACTTTACATTTTCAAAGTTTAAAGCTAGACATACACGTTTAGATTTATCTTGTTCAACAAGATCAATGGATTCCCCCATCTCAGCTAAACAGGATGAATATCCAAGGCCAGCTATTGCATTCTGATAGCCACAGCACCTGAGGTTGCCTGAATATCCAAACAGTGATTGCACGCAACTGAATACAGTCACTGCTCGGCTGACAATTTTTCAAATTTTTTTTGTCCCGTCCAGGACTAGGTAATCGGCAGCAAAGCTGAGAGGGCAAAGACCACAGGTTTTTCTCTCTGTCAGCAGAGATAGAAAGCAGCAGGTTTCCTTAGTAAAACTGGACACAGTATAATCATTCCCTAACTTACAGTTAATCCTTTGATCGCCCCACGTTAACCCCTTCCTGCCCAGTGTCATTAGTACAGTGCCAGTGCTTTTTATTAGCACTGATCACTGTATTAGTGTCACTAGAGATGTCAGCGGCAGTTAGTCAGTTCCCAACCCAGTGTCAGAATGAATAAATAAAAATTCCAGTATATATACTGCTATTTGTAGACGCTATACCTTTCACGTAAACCAATTAATATACACTTATTGTTTTTTTTTAAGCAAAGACATGTAGCTGAATACATTTTGGATTACATTTATGAATACATTTTCTTTTTTTTTATTGTTTTATAGCAAAAAGGTAAAATATAGTTTTTTTTTCCCCACAATTGTCAGGTTTTTTGTTTATAGAGCAAAAAATAAAAAACGCAGAGGTGATCAAATACAACTGAAAGAAAGCTCTATTTGTGTGGGAAAAAAAGGGAATACATTTATATTATGTACAGCGTTGCATGACCGTGCAATTGTCAGTTAAAGTAATATTGAAAAAATGGCCTGGTCAGGAAGGGGTAAATCTTCCGGAAGGCAAGTAGTTCATGTATTCAGCAGGAATTGGCCAAAAGTGAAGCCGTGTTTGGCAAATTTAACACTTGCAGGTATTTTTTTATTTCTCAAAGAAATCACAGTACTCTCCCTGAGGAAGATTTCATCCTCTTTTCTCCTTAGCAGGCAGGCACATTACCTATTCAGTCATTACCCATGATAAGCATTTTATTTTTTGGGCTGAGGTGGTGACTCAATGATAACACAATTGTTTAAAAAAGCCTGGTGCATGCACAGTATCCTCTATGTTCTTGGCTATGTATACCTATTGTTTGCCATAGTTGTACACCCCTGCAGTAGTTTCTCAATCTGTAGCTTGCTAGGTAATTACAATGTTACAACTGTCTCAGTGAGTGATGACTAGGAGAGGGAGGCTGAGGACATGTTCTCATTCTGCCTGCAGGAGGCTGATAACATCATTCACTCAACGTGTTTTCCTGAAGTGCACCTTGAAGAATGAGCCCTTTTGACACCAGCTCAAGTACATATTTTCTTTTTAATGTGATTTTACAGTTGATCTATATTCTTACATGTTAAGAACATATTCATGTTCAAGATACCGAAAGGTCCATTTTAAGATTCAAAGCAATCTAGTGACATGACACATAGCTAAGAACTGAAAACAATATCAGGGGTAAAAATTATGGCAAGCACCGGCCCTGCTAACACACTGCCAGAGCACACCCTTACCATGACGTTACTTTCAAGCATTTGCAGACCAGGAGTACCATTGGCTTGAAGTAGAGTGTGTACCACTTTGTCAAGTTTGCTCTCTTCCTCAGCAGGAATGCAATACCTGTAATGCAATGGAAACAGTTCAAGGTCAGAATATTCAAGCAGAACCTCAGGCATAGAGATTTTTGTAAACTTTGATGTGTAAGCAATTGTTACCTCTGCTGATTTGTAATACATTGCCAGATCACCTTGATGAACCATTCACAGAGTACACAGCAATCTGTTAAAGGCCAAGAGGTGAGGGGGCAGAAGAAAACACTAGTGGTGCAGTCTGAGACCAGCAACTCTCATACACAGAGGGCCAGAAGTACAAAGTGAAGCTACACTATCCGGCAGAAAGAAAGGTCCAGGTCACACTGTAGAAACGCAGTCCAGATGCATTCCAGATGAGTTTCTGCATGTGCGTTTTTGTTGCATTCTGGTGCATTTTTATGTGTTCCAGTGCATTTTTATTTCTTCACCTTAAATAATGCTTTCGGGTGCATTTTTGGTGTGTTTAGGTGCATTCCATTGCATTTTTTATGCATTTTACCACGCTCCAGTACAGTTCAGTGCAGTACTGTAAACATACAACCAGGCTATACTTATCCTGGTTGTATGTTTGGATAAGGCTCTGGTATAGAATTAAGGGGGAACTTTACACCTCTCTGACAATCAGCATCCCTGAACTGAAACTGTTACTTTTAGCAGTGAGAGAAATACCACTGTTAAATGTTTCACTTCCCACTGCAGCCAGAAGTCCAGTCTGTGGTAAAATAAGGTGTACAAAATATGTTAGCACTGCAAAATAAAGATTTAATGCATGCAGTAAGGCATATTTTTAATGAATTGCCTGCTTCTGAGATAAACATCACACAATTGATTTAAACAGAAAAATGCAAGCAGTAGTTACACTGATCAGCCATATCTTTATGACCACTGACAGGTTAGGTAAATAATATTGATTATCTTGTTACAATGTCATCTGAAAGTGGGTGTGATATATTAGGCACCAATTAAACATGTGGTCCCTGCAATTGATGTGTTGAAAGCAGAAAAATGGGTATCACAGTTTGTTGTGTAAGGGGTTTTGTAGCTGCCGAACGGTCAGGGTGCCCATGCTGACCTGTGTCTACAGCCAAAAGCCCCTACAGTGGGCATGTGAGCATCAGAACTGGACCATGGAGCTATGGAAGAAGGTGGCCTGGTCTGATCAAACATGTTTTCTTTTACATCATGTGGATGGTTGGGAGTGTGTGCTTACTAGGGGAAGAGATGGCACCAGGATGAAGTATGGGAAGAAGGCAAGCCATCGGAGGCAGTGTGGAGGCAGTTTGGGCAATGTTCTGCTGGGTAACCTTAGGTCCTGTATTCATGTGGATGTTACTTTGACATGTAGAGGTACCTAACATAGTTGCTGACAAGGTACACCCCTTCATGGAAATGTATTTCCTGATGGCAGTGGCCTCTTTTAGCATAATAATGCACCCTGCCACACTACAAAAATGGTTCAAGAATGGTTTCAGGAACAAAGAGTTTGAGGTGTTGACTTGGCCTCTAAATTTTCCAGATCTCAATCCAGTCAAACACCTGTAGTATGTGCTGGAAAAACAAGTCCGTTCCATGGAGGCCCCACCTTGCAACTTACAGGACAAACTACTACTGACAGCTTGTGGCAGATACCACAGCAAACCTTCTAAGTTCTAGTGGTGTCAATTCCTCAATAGGTCAGGGCTGTTTTGGTGGCATAAAGGAGACCTACTTAATATTAGGTGAGTGGTTATAAAGTTATGGCCAGTTGGTGTATCTCTTAGACTTGACCCATTATTCTTTGTGGTAAAAAAATTTTAATTAATAGATCAGTTGTTCTTTTTGCTCTTTCATAACAATTAGGAATTTACTCTATACTTATACTAATCCATATATATCCATCAGAGATAAAAGACAATTCTGTTTGTCAGAACAGTAATCTAGTAAATGAAACATATGACATGTCCATAATTCCTTGGGTTGTTAATGCAAGATGTAAATTTCCAAGCAGCTTTCAAAGAGCTGCATTACACTTTATATTAATGGATGAAGTATGCCCTATTGCACATAGGCTGGCTGTCAAAGAAAGTTATAATTATTAGTGTAAACAGGTTTTTGAAGAGCTAAATTATAAGTGTAATCACATGTAAAGTTTACCCTGGCCCAGGTACGTCATTTAACTGTATGTGTTTTTATATAAAGCTCAGCATATTACTTATTAGCTTATTACGAGTTCCCTTCAGAGTTTACTTTAAGAGAATACAGTAAACTAGGAGAAGACGTTAGCAAGTACAACATTTTACAATGATACACAGAATTTCCCAAAAGCAGCAACTAAAGACCACTGAATAAGAAAAAAAAAAAAAAAATAAACATAATGAAAGAAGTAGACTCTTTATAGGCAGGATATGTGGAAGTGCTTACCAAATGCAATCAGCACCAGTGTGTAAGTAGTCAATATATGGAAGGTGATTTTGGTCTCGAGACCAGCATGAGGTAGAAAAGACCATGCCAATATTAAGCCAAGGAATTGTTACTCCTGAAAAAGAAAGAAACAGGAATGACAAATGAATTAATATATACTGTATACATTTTCAATGTAATGGTACACAGAAGATTTTACTTAAAGTCCATTTGAAATTGGAACCACAGTCCATTCTCTCTGAAAGCAATTTCTTTGCAGACCTTACCCATTACGTTACAAAAAAAAAAAAAAAAAAAATGTACCCTTAAAGTGGTAATAAACACAAAACCAAAAATGTAATACATTGCACCTTACCAATCATCAGGTTTTTTTTTTCTTTAGGGTTTTTTCCCTCCTGTTTTCACCTGGTGGTCTGGCCGGGAACACACCACCTGTATTAGAGTGCCTAAACTCTGGATGAAAGAGCACATGGGGAGGGGCGTATCTGAGCGTTGGGGGGTGGAGCCTGAACATGGCGGCTGTGGGGAGCGAGCGGCACTAGCTCTCGGCTAGGTCCCGCTTCCCGACCTCCCTAGAGACCCTAAGAGAACGACTCACCGGAGTCTGGAGGGAGTAGAATGGAGCCCGGAGAGACGGAGATGGGAGCAGGACAGAGGCTGCAGTGACGCGTCGGCTCCTCCGGCGCTTCGTGAGAGAGAGATCCGGACGGCTGGGAGACGAGGTGACGCGGCGGGGGCATGTGATCAGCCGCGGAGGATCTCTGGGAGAAGCCGGACTGCCGCCTGATGAGACAGGGAGACGCCGGCTTACTGTTACCGGCTCTCTGTTGCCCACAACCCCCGGCTTATTGCTGCCTATAACCTCCGGCTTGTACTGGCTGTAGCTCCTGGCTGGCTGTTGCCTGCGGCCCCCCGGCCAGCTGATTGTTTGATCCTGGGAGACCCAGGAGCATTAGGAGACCCACCCTGCATCCCTGGGACGAAGCCCAGAGAGGAAAAACGAGGCATAGCGTCGGAAGACCAGAGGAATCCCCCCCAGGACAGAGCTGCTGTGAAGGACCTCCACCCATGCTTGGAGCCACTGTCTTGGGAAGAGAAGGGTGAGTGAGAGCTGTTGGGGGTCTATTGTGTAGTGGACTCCTGAGTGACATTGGGGATCAAGGGGTCAAGGAGGAGAGGGGAGGATTCCCTGGGTTTAGAAGAGAAGAGCCCCAGGTGCCCCAGGAGAGCAAAATATAAGGAAAATCTGCAAACCTGTCTGGAGCACAAACCATAAAGGAGAGGTACATTCCCATCTAGAGCATATAGAAGAAAAAAAGACATATAGAGGATATGAAGAATAAAGGTCCTAAGGGAGCAGGGCTCAAAGGGTCTCAATCAGGCACAATAAAGAAATTTACATCATATGGAAATATTACGTCAGAAAGGTCCCAAGGCGACAGTGCTAAAGGGGAAATGGACACTAGTTCAGGAAATAGTCCTAGATTGTCATTGGGTATGACCAGCATTTGTAGCCAACAAATAGAGGATGGCTTGGGAAAAAAAGAGCTCGATGGTGAACTACAAGTACCGAATAAGAAGGAGATGACAGAAATGTTTCAAAGTTTGGAGAAAATTATAAAACAGGAAATGACAGTTATTCGAAACAACTTAGGCCATTTGCTGTCGAGAATGGAAGAAACAGAGGAGAAAGTTAAAACCCAGGCCCAAATCATAGATAATCTAAGGAAAAAAAACAACCCATTTGGAGAAAACCCAGAAAAAATTGCTCTATAGGATGGAAATTCAAGAAAATAAAGAAAGAAGGTGTAACCTTAGGGTGCGAGGAATTCCAGAGTCTGCAAAAGGGGAAATATTATATGAACTAATTAATAAAATCTTAAACTCCATAAGAGACAGACCTGAAACAGACGTGATTGAACTGGTTGGAGTGTTCAGAATATGAAAGTCCAAACAAGATACTGAGAGGGAAAGATCGAGAGATATAGTGGTCCAGTTCCAGAAATTTGGGGTCAAAAATGAGATATGGAAGAAGATCAAGGGAAGATCATTAATTAAGTATGGAGATATGACTATTCAAATTTTTGCGGACTTAACATCAGAGACTCTATGGAGAAGGAGATCCCTGAGACCCCTGTTGGAGCAAATGAGAAAACAGAATGTGCAATATAGATGGGGTACCTCAGTATCTCTAATTGGCTGGAAAAATGGGGTCACAGCATATCTGAGATTCCCGGACGAACTGAGAGATTTTTGTGATAGACTGGACTTGCAAAGAATGGAGATAGCTGGGTGGGAAGAAGAAGAAGAAGAAAAAGGAGATACGGTTGATATAAGAAGGGAGGACTGGCAGCGGGTCGGGGGGAGGGGGAGGGAGGCTTTGGGGTTGGGGGGAGAGGGGGGAGGGAGAATTAAGTAAAAAATATGCTTTTCTTCTTCTCTCTCTTTTCTCCTCACCCCCCTTGTATCCCACCTGTTGAAGTGGAGGTCCCTCTGGAAGCTCCGGCTAAGGGGGGGGAAGTAAAGGTTATTGTTGAGCCCAGTTGATAGAGAAAGGGGAGCTGGGGAGGTCGGAGGAGAGGTGAGCCTTCCATGGGCGGAGCTTACGCCCAATACTTTAAATCAACCGTGGAAACAGTTCCACAAATGATTTGTAGGCAGTTTACAAGCCTAAAAATGGGTAGGGGAAAAATAAGAGAGGGGGGGGGGGGGGGGGGGGGGGGTGAGTTGGGTGGGAGGGGGGGGGGGGAGTGGCTACGGGGCTAATATTCAGCAAGATTTTTGGGCCTAATAGGAGGAGACGAATTAGAAGAGAGATAGACAGACTCATGAAGGATGGAAGAAATACAGTTTATAACATATAATGTGAATGGGTTGAATTGTCCTGGGAAAAGATTTAAGTTGTTTAAAGAGTTACATCACAGGGCAACGTCAGTGATATTTTTACAGGAGACACACTTTGAGATAGAGTCAAACGTGAAACTAAAATCTAAATATTATCCAACATGGTATTACGCGGACTCTCCAATTAAAAGAGCAAAGGGGGTGGCAATAGGCTTGGCAAAGAATATGAAATTTGAGCTGGAAGATAGAAAGACTGATCCGGAGGGGAGATTCCTGTTCTTGAAAGGTAAACTACAGGGAATTGAGTGTACACTAACCAATATATATTGCCCCAACAAGAAACCAGAGATCTTTTTGAAGGGTCTGCTGAAAAAATTGATAGATTTTAAAAAAGGGCGTTTGATAATAGCAGGAGATTTAAATCTCTGTATGGACCCACAAAAGGATACAACTTCACTAGTGCAGAGAGAGGGGGGTAGGTCTCTGAGAGCTTTGAAGAAGGTGATCCATGAGTACCAACTGGTGGACACCTGGAGAATAATGCATATGAAAGACAGAGACTATACCTTCTTCTCTAATGCACATGAGATATACTCGAGATTGGATTACATTTTAATAGATCATCAACTCATTGAACTGCTGGTTAAAATAGAAATAGAGACAAGAACTTTCTCGGATCATGCCCCTGTCATAATGAAAATAGGATGGGGAAGAAGGTGGACGGGAAGCTTAGGATGGAGGTTAAATGAGGCTCTTCTCTTACATGAGGATATTGCGCAGAAGATCAGGGAAGAGATTAAGGTATATTTTAAGGAGAACGAGACAGAGGAAGTATCGACAGCTACAGTATGGGAAAGCCATAAGGTTTATATAAGAGGAATCCTGATTGCGATGGGAGCAAGGAAGAAAAAGGAAAGAAGAGAGAGGGTTAGTGGACTCCTAAAGGAAATCCTGGACTTGGAGCAGATACATAAGAAGAAAATAACAACAGAAACAAGACAGAAGTTAATGGATAAAAAAGACGAGTTGGAGAGATTGATGGAGGAGGAGAGGAAAAGAGTATATAACAAAGTATTAAGTGAAAGATATAGATGGGGAGATAGACCAGGAAAATACTTAATGAGAGCCCTGAATAAAAAGAAAAACAGGAATTATATAGAAAAAATAAAAAGTCCTAAGGGGGAGTTGGTCCACTCAACTAAAGAAATTATTAAAATATTCACGGAGTATTATAGAAAGTTATATAACATTAGTCCCCAAGGTTCACCAAAAGAAATTAGAGAAGGTATTAAAGAAAAAAGGATGATATATTTAAAAAATGTGGGATTACCAAAGCTTAGTGAAACACAACTGAACTCCTTGGATGCGGAAATTTCTCAAGAAGAAATAGAAGCAGCATTAAGAAGTACAGGAGGAGGGAAAAGCCCAGGCCCGGATGGTTATACAGTTAAGTACTATAAAAAATTTAGTGAATTACTGTTACCGAAGTTGAAGTATATGAATGACTTGGGAGGTGGGATGGAGGGGAGGAGGGAATCTCTTCAGGCCCATGTCGTTCTCATTCATAAGGAGGGAAAAGATCCTTCTCAGTGCTCTAGTTACAGACCAATTGCATTATTGAACACTGATACCAAGCTGTACGCAAAGGTTCTAGCAAACAGGCTGAAGGATCTAATGCCTGAATGGATCCATGGAGATCAGGTGGGCTTTGTCCCAGGGAGAGAGGGTAGAAATAACGGGTTGAGAACTTTAATGCTTATTCAGAAAAGTAGAAAAGGGAAAGCCCCGGTGGTGCTCTTGTCAATTGATGCCGAAAAGGCATTTGATAAGAGTGGACTGGGGCTTTATGATGGACAACTTGGAAGTGTTGGGGATTGGAGAGAGAATGCGTGAGTGGATAGGTAAATTGTATAGGGAGCCCACTGCAATCATCACGGTAAATGGGGAAAGGTCGGAATCCATTGGTATGTCCAATGGAACAAGACAAGGCTGCCCACTGTCCCCCTTGTATGTTTTGACATTGGAACCCCTGTTGTCAATAATAAGGAATAGTGGAGCGGTAAAGGGAATCCAGATAGAAAATATAGATCATAAAGTAGCGGCCTTTGCGGACGACCTATTGTTTTACGTAGGTAACCCCCGAATAACACTACCAAGTATAATGAAGACCCTGAAGCAATATGGTGAACTTTCAAATCTAAAAATTAACCCAACAAAAACAGAGATTCTAAACATCAATATACCAAAGAGCGAAAAAGAAAAGCTACAAAAAGAATTCCCCTTTATATGGAGAGAAAAAGATATAAAATGCCTAGGAATAAAACTTGCTACCTCATATAAACAACTGTATAGATTAAACTATATCTCACTGATAAATGAGACTAAGGAAGAGTTAAAAAGATTAGAGGGAGGAAATCCTTCATGGTTAGGACGTATAAACCTAGTTAAAATGGTAATTATACCTAAAATACTCTATAGATTTCAAATGGTCCCAATCAAGCTCCCAGAGGCGTTTTTTAAGATAATGAGAAGAATGTTAATAAGATATATATGGAGGAATAAAAAATCAAGAATATCATACGAAATACTAAGTAGGACTAAAGAGAAAGGGGGAATGGGACTACCTGATGTCAAGAGATATTATAAAGCAGTAATTTTAGCAAGAATTTATGATTGGACATTTAACCATAAGGAAAAAGTTGGGTAAAAATAGAAAATGAACTGAGTGGAATTAGTTTGAGTAAGATGATATGGGTTCCAGCACATTATAGAAGAATTAAAGAAACCACAAGCACTTTTACTTTAAATGTTTTAAGGACATGGGATAATCTACATAAACACATGAAATGGGAATTCAACTCTATTTTAATGCCTCTTGCAAACACGGAGTTTTTCCCTCCAGGAAAGGATGAGATATCAGGGAGATGGTTTAAAAAGGAAGATATCCAATTGAGAGACGTATTGGTAGAGGGGAAATTGAGAACATTTAAAGAATTAAAAGAGAGGGGGGGAGATATGTTTTTTAGAATAGATGAGTGGAAATACCATCAATTAAAATGTTTCATTGGAAATCTCCCAAAACCCTTGAGATTAAAAAAGGAGTGAAATATGTTTGAAAGGCTATTAGAAACCCGTAGAGATGGGAAACACGGTGTTACAAAAATTTATAGAATACTCACAGAATTAGACACAGACACAAAGTTAATTTTTATAACAAATTGGGAAAGAGATATGGAGATAGCGCTAGATGAGGATCAACAGAATAAGATATTTAGACTGGTACACGAGAGTGTTAGTATGAGAGACGTTGAGATAAATTATAAATGTCTGACACGATGGCATATTATGCCGAGCACCGAGCACAAGATGAGTGGGGAGAATTCAAAAATGTGTTGGACAGGATGTGGGGAGGAGGGCACGGTGTTCCATATATGGCGGCAATGTCCAAAAATTCAGGTTTTCTGGAAGACATTAGTTAAATTAATAGAAATAATAACTGGGAATGACATAGGGTTAGACCCAACCATGTGTCTCTTACATAATGTTGAGACAACAGTAAATAAATATAAAGAATCAGGCGTATGGTACTACTTAAGTGCTGCAAAAGGGTTGATACCCAAGTTTTGGCGGAAGACAGAGGTGCCGATGGAGGAGGATTGTATCAATAGGGTAAACCAGATTAGTAGAATGGAAAAATCTTACTATATGCAGGAAGACAGGTTGGAAATATACTACTCGCGATGGGAAAAATGGGAAAAATCAGGATTGAAAGAGAAATATAGAAAATTTTAAAATTTTAAACTAGGAAGTTATTTAAAGTTATTGGGTCTTGAGAGAGTGGAGATCTTGCAGAGGGGAGGGAGGGGGAGGGGGGGTAGAGGTGGGTTGGGAGGGGAGGGAAAGAAAAGAGGTAATTAGAAGGGGGTAAAGTAGAAATGTATTGATTATTTATATGTTTTGTGCCTCTTCTTATGGAATCTTTGTAATAATATGAAAAACTAATAAATATTTAAATTTAAAAAAAAAAAAAAAAAAGAGCACATGGGGCACCAATGGACTGCAGCATTGTCATGCTGATGGGGGAAGAGTGTTAGAAAGATCTGAAAGAGTGATCACTACTGTCAAGGTGGTGGATTGATGGTTTCAAGATTTCCACTGGGACTTTAATTACTTTACGTGGACTACACTTTATTTATATTATACGTTATTTTCGTAATTTATTCCTCTGATCACGTTTGTTACCACACAATTATTTTGGTGGCACTGCACTTTTTGAGCATTTATATTTCTGTAGGTTTGTTGCACTACCTATTGGTGAAAGTGGCCACATAACAGAAAACACAGCGTGAATATATTTTTTGTTTTACACACAAACACACAGTATACTGTATATTTAAATCTTTCTATATTAAAGATCTAAAGGCTGAGACTTTTTTTTTTTGGCATGGATATAATCATTTATAAACATAATGCACAATACTGGTAAACTTTTAACTTTAAAATGTTATTAAAGCTTCAAATGTTTTGATTTAACAACAGCAAACGTGTCATACTTACCTGCTCTGTGCAATGGAGCTGCCCCAATTCTCTTTTCTTGGGTCCCCTGCTTGCACCCTGGGCTCCTCCCCCTGCTGAGTGCGTCCAGAGCAAGTTGCTTGCTCTGGGGGCACTCGTGTGTGCTCGCTCCTAAGACGCCTCTGTGTGCCTATAAGACACACAGAGCGCAGCTCGGCCCCACTCCCTCCTCACTAGCTGTGATTGACAGTCACTGGCTCCCGCTGCGCCAATGAGATGGGGGAGACCCGGAAAAGCTGCTGCTCTTGTGCATGTTGCTGGATCATTAAGTATTAGGGGGCAGCTAAGGGGGGAGCTGCACACTGAAGTTTAAAAAGTTAAAAAAAACTTTCAGTCTTTACAATACCTTAAATGTAATGCCTTAATTTACCTCCAGTCTATCAGCCTCAATCTTTCTCCAGGTTCAGATGCTGATCTTCCCTGTACAGAGCCCTTGCATCATTTCTTTCTCCTGCCTAGGACTACATGTCCCATGAGGCATTCCTCCTCACACATTCACTTTCACAAGCAGTTACTGACAAGTAAACATGGTGTACTAAGCTGTATGTGTGTTGCATTGTACATACTGACATGTATGAACGTTGTATTGAGCTGTATGTGTGCTGCACTGTGCATACTGACATGTATGAACAGTGTACTGAGCTGTATGTATGATGCACTGTGTATACTGACATGTATGAATGTTGTACTGAGCTGTGTGTGTGCTGCACTGTTCAGGCCAACTAATTGGCTGACCAACTACCATATTTTTTTGCTCCATAAGACGCACCTGACCATAAGACGCACCTAGGTTTTAGAGGCAGAAAACAGGAAAAAAAATTCTGAACTAATGGACTGCGGACACAGTACAGGAAATGACCAGAGACTGCGGACACAGTACAGGGATGACCAGAGACTACGGACACAGTACAGGGATGACCAGAGGCTGCGGACACAGTACAGGGATGACCAGAGACTGCGGACACAGTACAGGGATGACCAGAGACTGCGGACACAGTACAGGGATGACCAGAGACTGCGGACAGCACAGGGATGACCAGAGACTGCGGACAGCACAGGGATGACCAGAGACTGTGGATAGTACAGGGGATGACTGCTGACCTTTGGGGAGGGGGGGGAGCGGGTACCTGAATTTGACAGATACCCGCTCCCACTTCCGCGGAGTTGTTCTTTCATCTTACCTGTTCCTCTATCCAGCCACGCGCTGTCTTCCCGGCTTCTGTAATGGCGCTCGGCATGACAGCCGGATGCCCAGTGCGCATGAGCGAGAAGCACTTGCGCTTTGTGATTGGTCCGGCGGCTTCTGGGATCTGTCATGTGTCCCAGGTGCCGCCTTACCATTCACAAAAAGCACCGCTTCCTGCGCATGCGCACTTGGCACCCGGCTGTCATGCCCACACTACAGAAGCCGGGAAGACCGCACCGCTGGATAGAGGAACGGGTAAGATGAAAGAACAACTCCGCGGAAGTGGGAGCGGGTATCTGTCAAATTCAGGTACCCCCCCCCCCCCCCCCCCCCCTCCCCAAAGGTCAGCAGTCATCTCTATAAGGTCCCGCTGTAGAGCTGAGCGGCCGGCCCGGTATTCTGACACGGCGGCAGTGGAAATACCGGACCGGCTGCTCCATATTCGCTCCATAAGACGCACTGACATTTTCCCCCCTTTTTTGGGGGGAAAAAAGTGCGTCTTTTGGTGCAAAAAATACGGTAATTAATAATGAAAATTGTTGACAGCTATTTTTATTATCAATTATATTGCTTAGTTGTTTCAGCCCCAGTTCAAAATCACTATCGAAATTGATTTTATACAACAGGAATGCTGCAGTGACGTTACAGGTATGTAAAACAAAAAAAACCCACCAAATTTCTGTCCTACATTATAATGAAAGTATTATCAAAAAGTGTATTACTGTTGCAACAACAGGTTACAGCATAAGGATACATTACTTACCAGGCACAGCACCAAGGTGTCGCAGGATGGATCCTGAATTATTAGGAAGGACTGTGAGATTCCATCCATGCCTACAAAACACATGAAAAGAACAGTAGAATGTAAATATTGTTGACTTCCCATGTTATTTGTAGACAAGCATGGGATAAGCATCTTACCTTGAAAAGGGTTCTGCTTTAGCCACAGGAAATCCACTTCCATGAGTGTTTGTGTCGACCTTTCCGCAATGCACAGCAACGTGGCAAGACTTCTGGTCAACAATGTGCCAATATTCTTGCTGAAATAAAAATTACTGTTATTATTATCTGTGGAAGATTGGTCATCTTATTTTTCAAAAGGTAGTAACCATCCCCTATTGCATACCACTATATTTTTCACAGAAAATATATATTTCTACCATAATTCCTCAGAAGCATCTGCTCTGTGTGTTTATTGCCTAAGCCAATGAAGATACTTAAAAAAAAAATAAGAATGAGATCTACTTGGTTACCACAGACAAAATCAATTTTACATTTCCTCAAATTTTTATGATGTGCATAGAAAATACAGTTTAAGATTACACTGAATTAAATAGTATTTTTCATATCTGCTTGGAGTTGACAGCTCACTATTTGGATAAATCAGTTGATCATTTTCATCCATTCTCTACCACATTCCCTGATTGATCTGTTCAAAATGTTCGTTACGTAAAACAGAAACTGTAAGAATGAATTGGGAAAGGGAAAAACTTCACATGCATTGAAAAAGTTAAACTGTGCAGTTATTCTCCAATAAAAACTGGAAACACATTTATTTATTTATTCATACTGATTATGGAAAACCAAAGGCAGCTTCAAAGTAATTTCTTGGTAAGCCAATATATGAAATACTGTACATGTTAAAATATTTTAAAGAAATGCAACACAATAAAAACTATATAGTTTCTCAATTAATTACTATAGACTTGTACACTGGACCTTACATAATGACCAACAGGTCAAACTAACTAGGGTCTGTAGGGGCCCTTTCATATGGGCGTTCAGTCTGCGTCAGTCTGTCAATTTTTCAGATAGAACCAGACTGAACCACAATGATTGTCTATGGGCGAGTCTGTTTACAGCCACTTACAGCAGAGTCAGTTTATGTCTGCTGAAAAAAAAACACAACACAAAAAGGTCTGCATCCTACAGAGATGACATCTGTTTCAGGCTAGAAATATGTTTTTTTAATATTTTTGACATATATAACTAGATTTTTTGAAAACTACAAAAAAATGGACATGTAAAAAAACATGTAAACTGAATGCAACTGAACTGAACACAGATGTGTAAACTGATGTAACCTAAATTCATGTTTTTTTTCTTAGCAGAAATGTGAGTGAACTGTGGACACCCATGTCAAAGGACCATAGGGGTTCTCACACACACTGGTGCTTCGCTCCAGTTAGCAGGGGATTTTGCGCTGATTTCAAGCTGGAAATGTTGGATGTCAGTTTTGTGACATCTGTACCCACACAATATTTGTCTGCATTTTGACAGTGGTCTGTGGTTGATCAGTGATGGCTGTATGGGCAGCTGGATGTAAGCAGACTTGTGTCTGTTTATATCAGGCTACCACTGATCTGTCACATTTAGGAACAGAAAAAAAATGCACTTTTAGTTTTTCTTTTTTTTCCTCTACCATGGACCCGCATGTAATTGGGAGGGAGGTGGATGACAATTGACACAAGTCTGTTTATATCTACCTGCCAACACACTTGCATTCAGCTTCCAGTCAGGTCTGCCTGATCAACTAACAGGTGTATCTGATAAGAAAGCCAATGTGAGAGGGGCCTAGCGTTTTGCAGAAAGGCAGTACAGTCCATTTAACATCATTTTCTATGGGACATATTGACATCTCTGCATTTTTTCACCCGGTGTGTCTTTTGGAAAGGGTCAGGGACTTTTCTGAACCCAAAAAGTTGAATTTTTGGTGCTATAGACTTCAATGGAAATGCTGCAGAAAAGCAAGTAAACACGTTTTTGCTGTGTTTTGCATTTTAAATCTGCCTAGCAACAAGAAAAATTTTTAAAAAATGACCCCCCCCCTCCGCGCAAAGCGCATAAAATATGCAGCAAAAATGCGTCACAAGCCCAGGTGCAAAAACGCAACACAAAACAAATGCAGAAACAGCTCAAACGCAAGCTGCATAGGTGTTAACCTAGCCGTATACAACTAATCATGCACAAATTGACTCCTGGCGTTTTTTTTTTTTCCTTTATTACATAAAACAGCTAAATGAGAAAAAAATAATCCATTTATCAAGGGCACTGTTTTAATCTTTAACAGGCAGAAGATAAAAAGCAATTTGGCCTTTCTTGTGGAAATACAGTTGCATTACGTTCCTTTCAAAATTCACACAACTATTTCAAATCAAAAAATAAACAAATTGTCAGGTAAGTCTATGTGACTTATTACTGCAGCTATGTTTGTAATTTGAATTCAGTTACTTATTCAAGACTCACCTCCTTATTCTGTTGAAAGGAGTAAATAGCTTTTGAAAGTTTACCTTTGTGTTCCTGATAGAACTAATAAGGGACAACTGCCTAAAATACTTTGTAAACAGATTAAAGGATCAGAAGGAACATTTATTGATGAGGGGAAAATGTACCCATCTATAAAAAAGTGAGGTTAAAGTGACACTAAACTCTATTCAAGTACAGTTGTGTTCAAAATAACATCAGTCAGATATCACTAACCTGATCAATCACTGTTTTTGGTAGAAATGATATTTCTACATGGCAAATAATTTACTAGCAGGTGTAGTAGAGTAATAGAAATCCAACAGACCCAACAGTCATGACATGCATGCTGCCGATTCTGTGTAACTGAATCACTAATTGAAAGGGGCATGTTCAAAATAATAGCAGTGTGGAGTTCTATTAGTGAAGTCATTCATTCTTTAAAAAACAGGTGGCAATTATTGCCCTTATTTAAGGAAGGAAGGCAGCAAATGTTGTACATGCTGGTTACAGTGCATTTCTCTCTGAAATTCTGAGGAAAATGGGTCATTCCAGACATTGTTCAGAAGAACAGCGTACCTTGATTAAAAAGTTAACTGGAGAGGGGAAAACATATAAAGAAGTGCAGAAAATGATAGGCTGCTCAGCTAAAATGATCGCAAATGCTTTAAAATGGCAACCAAAACCTGAAAGACGTGGAAGAAAGCGAAAAACTACCATTCGAATGGATAGAAGAATAGCTAAAATGGCAAGGACTCAGCCAACAATCAGCTCCAGGAAGATCAAAGAAGGTCTAAAGTTACCTGTGAGTACTGTTACAATTAGAAGACGCCTATGTGAAGCCAAGCTATCTGCAAGAAGCCCCCGCAAAGTCCCACTGTTGAAAAAGACATGTGCTGAAGAGGTTACAATTTTCCAAAGAGCACATTGACTGGCCTAAAGAGAAATGGCGCAACATTTTGTGGACTGATGAAAGTAAGATTGTTCTTTTTGGGTCTAGTGGCCGGAGACAGTTTGTCAGACGACCATCAAACACTGAATTCAAGCCACAGTACACTGTGAAGACAGTGAAGCATGGTTGCGCAAGCATCATGATATGGGGATGTTTCTCATACTACGGTGTTGGGCCTATTTATTGCATACCAGGGATCATGGATCAGTTTGAATACATCAGAATACTTGAAGAGGTCATGCTGCCTTATACTGAAGAGGAATGCCCTTGAAATGGGTGTTCCAACAAGACAACGACCCCAAACACACCAGTAAACATGCAACATCTTGGTTCCAGACCAATAAGATTGATGTTATGGAGTGGCCAGCCCAATCTCCGGATCTTAATCCGATAGAAAACGTGTGGGGTGACATCAAAAATACAGTTTCTGAGGCAAAACCAAGAAATAGTGAAGAACCGTGGAATGTAGTCCAATCATCCTAAGCTGGAATACCTGTTCACAGGTGCCAGAAGTTGGTTGACTCCATGCAACACACATGCACAGCAGTTCTCAGAAACAGTGCTTATACAACTAAATATTCATTAAGTGATTCAAAGGAAAGCAAAATCTTCAAACATTTTTCAGTTTATATAGTGAATGTTTGAGTTTGTAAAGAAGAATACAAACACTGCTATTTTTTTTGAACAGTCTAATATTCACTTTTCTTCCATTTTTTTTAGAGGAACAACACAAATGTGATATATTTTTTCTTCATGTTTTGATTTGGAATAGAATGTGTAGTGTTCCCAATGCATTTGTGTGTATGGAAATAAAAGCTATTAGAAGGATTTTGAGCTTTATTCACTTTTTTCAACACACTGCTATTATTTTGAACATAACTGTATGTATTCCTAACACAAAGTACCTTCTGTTGCTCTCAGCCTCCTCCATATCTAAAACCTTTCCCTGTTCAAGAATGGCCATGTTTGTTTTCCATGGTTTCACTGTATGTAGGAACATTGCCACCCTCTCTTGCTCACAATCAATTTGGGATTTGTAGTGTGCATAGAGCAGTGCAAATAACTGCAACTAATGTGCACTGCTCTGTCCAAACAAACAGAAGTGAAAGGGTAAAGGAGAGATTTGGGAGCTTAAACACAGTAAAAAACTATTTCAGGATAAATAGTTTATGGGTTTATTAAATAGTCAATGTATATAGATTATTTTTTAAAAATAAGGATATGGTTTAGTGTCACTTTATTCTACATATTAAAGACATTCAATGGTTACATCATACACTTTTATTTTATAAATCATCAGCATTGTAATAGCAATACAATCAATAGTTATTGGCAATCCAATATAAGCCTACTTGAGAAATCTACTTCCATGTTGTGAGTACTACCTGTCTGCTGGCCATCCTTTTCCACACCTTTCTGGATTCCTACATGCTTTACAACTTCCCATCTGCTGTTTACTTTCAACTTTTAAACATTACATATCCCATGGTACCTTGCTGTCTTCAAGGTGTAATTCCTGTACTGACTCCGCCTCCTGAAACTCCTCCTCTCAGTGCCTCTGTAGTTCAGAAGGCAGGCTCTGTGACATGTGGGACAAAGCATTGCCTACACACAGGGCATAATAAATACGTGTCACAGAATTCAAGGTAGTAAATGTGTGAGGATCCTCACATGTAAAAATGTAAGCTTAAAGGCTCAGATTTTTTAACCTTCATGCATGAAGGTAAAACACCTGTAAGCAGAAGCCCCACAGCCCCCTACTTACCCGAGCCCCCTTTCAATCCAGCAATGTGCACGAGAGCAGTGGCTCTCCCGGGACTGTCCCTCCATTGGATCCCACTACTG